TGAATTTCCACAGTCCATGCATCTGGCGAAGAGAAATCGAATTTGATTTTTTGTTATTTTTCTTTTAAAAATCCTTCAAAAAAAATTTGATTTCCATTTAAATTGATCTTTTTTCTTTGGCGAAAAAATTGAATTTTCCGACTTAAATGCTAAATTGGGTCGCAATTCACGCAAAAATAGTGAATTGTCTATGTCCATTGTCATTGAAAACTAACCTAAGTCCCGTCCACATTGGGCCCCACAGAACGCCGTCACAGTGATTACAATGCGTTGGTGTTGTGTATGAATGCTTCTCGAAACGATGTGGGTGAGCAAAGGTTTCTTGATGAATGCCACCGGCAAGTCGGCCACGCATTAAAATTTCCAATGTTGAACGCTTGTGCAACAATCGACCGTGTGATCGAACGATTGCACTGCTGAACGATGAATTCCGTTTCAATGAATCGCTCTGCGGCAATTCAAGCTTATCCCAAATTTGACGCCATTTCTGTGGCAAAAGACCTCTTTCGCTCTCGGATTGACGAAGTTCTTCAAGAATTCGCGAGAAAATATCCGGATCACACTTTGCAAGACTGTCATATCCAGTCGCAACCACGCGTCTTCTTCTCTGTTGTTGAGCTTTAGATGACAGATGGGTATTGCTACTGCTGCCATGGTTTGAATTGTTGCTGGCGCTTCGCATTCCAGTCGAAGACAGGAAATCAATCTCTTCATCTTCATGATTATCATTGCAAACCAGTTCAAGATCGTATGGTGGACCATGTGCCAACTCTTCGTCAATGTAATATCGCCACAATTCGAGCATCGCAACGGAGCTTTGTGGCCGTAAAATCGGTTGATCTTGATCACCACTGTACATAAAATTGTAGAATATCGGGAATTTGGCATGCTGACGATCGATGTAATCAAACACCGAGTAACCAATTTTGGCAGCTCCAACGCCCGACGATCGAATACCGCCCGGGAAAATGTCATCATCCGAACCGGTTCCGGTTTCGACAACCACATGCTTTGAATTCAACGAGCCACGTTTGTCTTCGATTTTTGCAATGCCCAAATCGAATTTCTCCAACTCGCAATCGAATAAGAACGTTCGAAAACGGCACGATACACTGTGATATGCCAAGAAACGCAGGTAGAAATCGTTAAATTCAAACGATAACGGAAATTGTACTTGAATTTGATGGACAGCATCCAAAAATTGTAGAAATACTGGTGCAAATTGGGCGCCACCGCCGCCACCCGCTTTTAAATTTGAACGATGCGCAAAGCGATGGCCAAAGGCAAGCCATTCTTTTTCGATCAGCACTCGAAAACCTTCGATTGTTCGATAGTATGGATCTAAGCATAGCTGTGCCAACGAGGTTATCTGTGACGTCACATCCCAACCATCTTCCAATGCCAGCGTGACACTTGATCCCTGCAAATCAATCAGATCCACAACCGCACCAGATAATTGCAAAATATTACGAATTTGCTGCAGCCATTCGGACTGTTCCAATAGTTTGGCAAACGTTTGATCCGGCTCATTTGTTTCCGTTGACGGTAGACAGGCTCGCATCAGCTTTTTGAAGGCAATCCGCGATTGTCGCACATCTGTGTAGTCAACTGGTATGAATTCCGTGCACAATTCGGATAGTCGTGCTGATTTCGATTGTGATTTCTCGCCCAAAATGTACATTGGAACGCGGTGGAACGAGTACGTGTGCGAATGGTTCTTCTCGTTGATGTCTCGCAATGGTTGCGCATTGGAGTAGGATTGCGTGAGACCAGATCCTGCTTTCAGTGAACCCCATTTGTTTGGCGTTTTCGTTGCACTTGACTGATTCGAACGATTGCCAAAGTTCGAAAACGATCGCACTGTATGGAAAGCACCTTGTGAAAATCGTCGACTTGAATCGGGCGTTCGCTCTTGTTTTGCAGCCATTTGATTATGTTGATAGTAATTGACATCCTCAGCGGCCCACATCAATGAATTTATCGATAAATTCGAATCGAATAAATCCAATGGATGTCGTAGTGCCACTGAATTTGGCATCGATTCGATGATTTGAGTGAAAAATCGATCTTGCTCTTGGAAACCGGTCGAATCGGTTGATATGTTCGTTGAACCAGCTGGATGTGCTTTGAACATTCCGATCACTCCCTTGGGATGCGGTAATGCACCACTGCAATTTGAAATGAGAAAAGCTGTGTTAGATGGCATGTTTTGGGATTGAGACAAGGTAAATAGCGAACGCTTACCGCAATAATATTGCACCATTCCGTTGATGTCGCCACGTTGGCACCGGAATTCGATGGTTTTTATAACATCGAGATAGGCAACGAAGTGAATCGTCTGATATGCCCTGTGGAGATACAATAATCGCTGTGGAAAGAAAGAAGTTTCATTATAAAAGAAAAATTGTAAATTTTCTCTCCGAAAATGTACGAAGAAGAAGACAAAGAATGGGAAAAAAATAAAAATAATTCGATTTTTCACTCACCCGGATACGATCGGCACAAGCTGTAATTACAATTGACGGAGGAGATTCGATAGTTTGAGTGTGGATCACTGAAACCGAGCCGTTTCCAGTCCCTCACATAGCTTCGTTCTTTCAACCGTTCAATATCTTTGACTGTGACGCGTGGCATCGTATCGACGGTATCATCTGAATCATCCTCATCGTTGATATTATGCAAATGATGTTCGGAATTGCTATTCGTAAGACTGTTGGTTCCGTGTTCGTTGGTCGGTGAAGTATCGTCAAAATTGACACCGGGCAAAACGTATTTTCGTCGTGTAACACCTTTTTGCTTGAAACCAGCTCGTTTAGCAGTTCGAATGAGTGTTTTCTTCGCGAATCCCTTCAACGTGGCATTCTTTTCTTTGACTTTGTGAAGCGGTGTACTGGGTATAATGCCATGCGATGCAAATGCGAAATGGCCAAATTCATGTGGTGGATGACGTGCACGATTCAACAATTTTCGAAATGCTTCAACGTTTTCGGCGGCGATTTCTTCGTCAAAAGCAACTTTGATCAATTGAAATGTGCACGAGCGCAACTGCAATCCTTCTGGTAACTCCTGATCCAAGTGCGGCAGATACAGTCGTGTCAATCGCTTCTCTTTGGTCAAACATGATATCGGGAATGAACGCACTATGCTCTGTTCGCATGACAGCATATCACATGGTGATCCCCGGAATACAACTTAAATTGGAATGTTTTGGAATTAGTACAATAATTTTCAAAGTCTTATCCACTGACTCACCTCTGTAATTCGTTAAAAATAGAGCACCTTCGGCAGGCAAAAGTGACGTCATAATCGAACAACTTTCTTCACGCCCATCGGGCAGCATATAAACACGCATGGCTTCGCCCAGAATCTCTTCTCCTGATAGCAAGATTGGTGCCTGTATCGTTGGCTTTTTAACCGATGGAATTCGCTTCGATTCACGATGAATAGCCTCTAATGTCTCGATGTGCATGTGCACAACACCGGGCACCATAACATGTAAATTTCGCACATGTTCAGCCGTTACACTGCCCTCAGTGCACACACGATCAATGAATCGGCTCACCATTTTGGTTACAATATTGCCCGTTTCAAATGGATCACTTTCTTCGAATCCTTCATCGCCTGAATGATCGCTGCGTGCACTTCGCGATTCAACAATACTGTTTGAAACACTTGTATCATCCTCCAAGTGATGATCAATTTTTTGTACTTTTATACCAGAGCTAATGTCGGTGGGAATTAATAGCGACACCATTCGATTGGCATAATGAATTGCTTGACTGTACAGCGTTGACTCTTCCGAATTGATGAATTCATTCAATTTGGCTGGATCCATGGATGGTGACAATCGCATTTGCTCAGCTGCTATTTCTAATGCTGATGGCTCTTGAACTCGTGATAAAATCGATGCCCGATACTCTTTCAAGTCCCTGCCAAAAACAAAAAAAAACATACATGAAATACTTCAGCTGTTGAAATGACACACAGTTTTTCGAAAGAAAAACACATGTAGACTATGAACACAGTTGATATGCTGATAACACAAGAACGAAACGAAACGAAACGAAACTAACCTTGAATTTGACGGACTGAGTCTGGTTCGTGAGTATGAGTAATTATTTTCGATAATGGAGGAGGAAGACGTTGTATTGTTCGCCCGCGGCAAATACAATGCTTTGATTTGCGTTTGAACATCTTGATAGAATGCACTCTCCCAAAACTGTTGACTCTTCCACACCGGGTGATCTTGAATGCATGTGTACGCAAATTGAATGACACCCGTACACAATTTCCGACAGAATGCCGTTGACAGTGGCAATAACGAGGCGGCAACACCATATTCATCCATTATAGAGTCGTCTTGCAGCGCTCGATTCATTAGCCTGCATGAAACAACAACAACAATGGAAAAAAAATGTATTCAAGAATTAATTGAAATGTTTCAATTCATGAATCAAAGGGCAAAGTTCAATGTGAACATGGAATTTGAAAGAAAAAAAGAATGACATCACTCACTTGATGACTAAATCGAATTGTTGATGATCCAACATGGCTTTATTTCCTTGTACGGTTCGTGCCAGTTCTCGGCACAATGTTAATCGGGCATCGCGTTGCTTCAGCGTACGCATAACAGCCGGAAAACTTTTACGTGCGTCAGCAATTTTATTTTCAAAAATGCAATTGACACAAGTTTTCAGCACCTCCAAACGACGAGCGGTATTATTGACCACCGGTCGTCCATCCGAAATACTTTGTAAATGTGGTCCCATTGGCACGATTCGTGGTGACAATCGAGCCGATTGAAAACTTTTCGTTTCAATGTTATTCTTAGCCAAACCATCGTTGATGATTTGTTGCACTAAATCACCGTTCAACGGATTCAATGTGGGCTGATGAATACGCGAGTACGATCCATCGGGTGGCCGCAACACCTTTTGCATATAGTTTTGAGATGATGGATTTTCATTTGTGTATAAAATCTGAGCTAATTCTCGAATGTGAGTCAACACCTGAAATGAACGCACGAGAAAAATAATCTTTGACTGTGATTGAAAAAGAAATCCATTTGCTATTGAATGTGAATGACATCAGCTTACCAATTTGGGATTTTGGAGTTCAGTTCGTGTCAAATCGGTTACTGAACTGTACAATTCATCCCATGCGTCGCATGCACGCCATGGTGGACCACGTTCGGTGATAAAACTTGTGAAAAACATACTATCTAATACGCGCGACAAAAAATCGCAATTGACTAAATCTCTTGCACCCAAAAAGCCGGCTTTGTGAAATGTGATCACGGGCTTCGGATGAATTCGAATCAAGGTTAAACATGATCGATATCCTTGCAACAGTTGAGCAAATGTCCGCATAAATACGGCACGAATTTCTTTGTCTTGCATCGCAAGATTCGGTTCGATGGTCGCTGCTGGCGACGGGAATGCCAAATCGGCTGAGTTGAGTTTTGGTTGCAACACCATTGTTAAGGACATTTGTGTGCTTTCCCAAATGGCATCGGGTAGCACAGAAACCGGTGGCACTAGCGATTCAGGGATTCGAATTGATCCACCATCAATATCGGCCACAATCACATCCATCAAATCGGATATTTCTGGCTGCAATGAACTGTGAACACCCATTATGAATGGTGTTGGTGTGGACAAGACTTCGGATAGAGGCGCCGGTAAAATTGGGATGTAAACGTGTGTATAACTGTAATGAGTGCGGGTCATTAGCTGGATATGTCTGGAGATTTTATATTTAGACCAAAGAAACGCATCAATTTTTTCAAAATACTTACCGGAATGGATACATGAGTGCCGTTAATGCATGGCAGCTATCGGTTAAACGGGAAAAACTTTTGGAATGAAATAAAATTTTGTGCTCGGTCATTACGGCGCAGAACAGAAGGATGACATTTTTTATGCCCAACTGTTGAAATAGCATGCTAACGCATGTTCCAGTTACGGGTAGGGTAGGTGATAATGGCGGCTGCAATGCTTGTTTGTCACTGGCTCCAATTGAAAAACGCACTTGTGGACCGCCTGGCGGTGGTATCTGTAAGATATATTCAAAATCGTTAGGATTTTTCATTGATGCATATTCGAATCATCTTTACAGTCAATCTCAAGTCTTAGGTTAATTACCTGAATACATCCGAGAATGTTTCCAATCAATGTTTCGAGTTGATACGGTAGACTTTCGATGAATGCCGTATAAATGGTTCCGAGGCAATTCTATGGAGAAAAGATCAACCAAATTGTCAGTTAAAAGTGAAAAGAGAATTAAAAAGAACCTCTCCAACATAGAGTCCCTGAAAAGTGCATTTGATTAGCTATAAATTACCCGAATGGTTTCGATATAATCCAAACGTGACACCAGAACCAAGCACTTGGGAGCGTACATGATGCTATGATGTGTGATATTCGATGTTGGTTTTGAGTTGACTTCTTGAATTAAAGCGGACGATGAAAAATTATTAACAACAGCTCCACCGGCCGCTGCGACAACAGCGGCCGGATTGAGCAGTGTTTGTCTCGGTGAAAAGCTGTCCTCTTCTTCCTCATCGATGGGCTTGTTGGGTGTGATGGCAACGGTTTCGTTGAAACACAGACAAGCACAATAGTGTCGATTCGCATCGATATCAGTCAAAACCGATACGAAGAACTGCGGCTCCAATCGTTCATTCGATAAGGCCCATCCAAGCGGTTGGCAAAACTATAAATGATAAATAAACACGTCAACAACAATTCGATTCTTATGTTCTTTTAAACTATGTCTTACCCATTCAATGCCCTCGATGAATGGAGTATCTGGCCAATCTTTTTCTGGGAAACGTTGTAAAATCTTTCCGCTTCGTTTGCCGGATCCTAAGAAAAAAATACGAACATGAATACACGCTTATTGAGAAAATAAGATTCCAAAAGTTCAAATTCCCTTTTACACTTACGTTCTTTTTCATGATCATAACCGACTATCACAAAATAATCAGCTAAACGAGACATTGTCTACCTGATTTGTTTGCGTTGTGTGAGTATGTGTGTGTGTGTGTGTGTTGTTGGAAGATTGTTGTATAAAAACTGTCGTATATGTTATGTTTATGTGGCCCACTAATTAGGCTATTTACTATGAATGTTTATTGTCATTACTGCAATGTTGGTTTTATTATTATCGGTTTCCATTCCAACACAGAAACAAACAAAAAACGTTACGATTAAATTAAATTTTGTTTTTATCAAAACTGTAATTTCCTTCAACCATTGACTAAATAAATTCGTCACGTTGTTTGATAAAAATCACTACTTCATTTTTCCATGAGTAAGAGCGCACCAATACTTTGCGTATGTGTACTTCGTTGTGCAAAGTGATGGCGAAAAATAATAATATCACTGTTTCTTTGTTTCCACGCCGATGTATGTAATGGCGAGTGTGAAAAATGAAAATGATCAAAAATTGGATTTGAGTGTAATTTTCGCTATTTCAAAACATAAATTGTCTAATAAAACATGACAAGTGATTTCTACTTGTATAACCTTCTGTAGTCGGCGCTCATTGACGAAAAATTGTTCGTCGGTTTTGGGTTTGCATTCGCATCGATAAATTCGATGGCAAAAACAAAAGCGAAATGCATCAACCAACAAAATATCGATTTCGAACGAATGAATTGGGAAAAAAAACAACAAACACACTGTTTTGATTTTATTTTTGTTTCGGTATGTTGCGATTTGTAGTGCAAATAACAATGCAGATTGGTCTATGTTGGTTTCGAAAATCGGTGAACCGCACCCCACTCCAAGTCTTAGTATGAAGGAAAATATGTATATGAAGGGATTCCTTATTCCAATCTATTTTTCGTATGTTCGTTTCGCTTTTTCTTGGATTCTTTTCACAATTTTCTATTCACTAAATAATAAACTTTGTGCAATTCTCTGCGTTCACCGAATTGCAATCGTTCCGCCACATTTATCAACTTGCACTAAGAAAATGAATGGAACACAAATGCCAGAAATTCGTTCTTCACTCGTTTTTTTTAATTCTCTCATTCCATTATATATTATTGGTACGTTGTCGTCGTCTTCTTTCATGCAATGATTAGATTTTGTTTCGCTTGGTGCGGTGGTGTGTGTGCGTGAAGTTTTGTATTGTATATAGCATAAACAAACGCCACCAATTAAATGTCAAACATGACAGTTTGCCCGTTCGGTACGGTTGGTCGGTCGATTGTCGGCATCTGGGCATATGTTGCGCTGTATGAATGCACAATTCCTTGCTGATATCACCAACCAGTCACTGACTTTGACGTCGATTCATGTGCTTTGCATGCCATCACTGTGCCACAAAGGAGTGATTCCATTTATCAACATTTCAAAATTGATAAATTCCACTCGGTCGTTTGATATTTTAAACGATATGAGCGAAACACTTATCGAAATTCGATGATAATAGTTTGATTTCATTTGCTATTCACGGCGAAATGGTCAGCTTTGATATTATTGAAAATATTTTTCTTTCACCTAATAATCATTGAGATTTTCATGCAATGACCACTTTGTTTCATATTTTTTCCATGTTTCATTTATTTTCATCGAATTTACCTACCCATTTGTAATCATATTCAATTTTCATGGCCAACTAAATCACCACTCGAATGTCTAATGTGAACCGCACCATAGTTCAACGCTGCACAGTTGGTCAAACTGTCAACTGCCAAGCGCGCTATGACATATGTTGTACATAAAACATTCAGTCTACTACTAACGAAATTTCGGAGCATTCGCTTGTTTGTGTTGCTCTCACTTTTATTCACTGTTTTTGTTTTCTATGTCTGTTGTTTTCAAAATTATTTTTGTAGTTGTGTAAAATTCTTTGTTTGAAAATATGTTTTGAAATTAAGAGAGAAAAAACCATTGGAAATTATTGGAAAAATTTGTTTTTTTTTTGTTATTTAAATTGAACGTATTTTGTAATGTCGAGCATAACAAAGCATCAGTATGATTTCACAAACGGTAAGTGCGCAAATAAGGAGAATGTATCGACTAACGGCAAACGAAGTGAAGTGAAAAAATCATCAAGTGGCATTGACAGCAACTTCGATTGGGCCGAGAAACAGGCAATTAGCCAACAGAGAAAGTTGCGCTTGATACAGGTATAACACGTCGACGTGAATTTATTGACTTTCTTTCATGAATATTTTATTTTCTGACATTTTCTAAATGGTGAACGTTTCATTTCGGTAGGTGCGACAACAATCCAAGGAAATTGCAGCACAAGTGCGTGAAAATGTTCGAAAAGAGGAGCAACGTCAAATTGAACTATTAAATCGTGTTAAAGAAGATGAAGTGTTAAAATGGCGTCAAAAACAATTGGGAATCATTGAACAAGACTATCAAACGCGTCTGGCACAAATTGGTGAAGCACATTTGAATGCAGCACGTGAAAATGATAGGCAACAACAATTCGAAGAACAAAAAGAGAAAAACCGACGACTTGCATTAAAACGCGGTAAAATTGCGGCACAGAAACTGAAAGAGGAGCAAAATATGAAGCCAACAAAACAAACGAACAAAGTGAAAGAGAAGCAAGTGGTGACGGTTTCGAAAAAGGTTGAGAGTTCACCCGAGACAAGTAGCGATTCGTCGACTTCATCGTCTTCTTCAAGTGATAGTTCGACTGCTTCGGTCATTTTGGTTGAAGATAAAAAGAAACCGCAGGTTAAGAATAAAATTCCGGCAGTATCTAAATCCGTGATTTCTCCGAAGAAGAAGACTTCATCGACGATGGTTAAGCCAACGGAATATAATCCATCGCGCTATGCTTCGGCCAATAATAGCACAGCCACCGATTTCTCGCTCACTGACAGTCCAATGAGCGATCCACCGCCATTGATTACAAAGGTATCAGATTTACTAGGCCGACGACCAGCCATCAAATCAACCACTTCACTTCGGTCAAGTCCACACATTGCTAAAACATACAAATTAGACAAGAGCCCGGTTTCAACGCGAAGCGTAACGAGAAAAACACCGCAGAAATCACCAATGAACGCAATATCATCGCGGCTATCGCGAGTTATTAAAACTCCATCGAAAACTAGTGGTAAATCACCAATGAAAGTGCTACCGGAGAGAAAACATTTTGTTCCCGAATTTGTCAGGGGCAGCACTTCGACGGCAACAACACAACGACCATCAAAGGTTCAATTCTATGATCATGCCAATAAATACACTAGGCAATATGATGGAAACATCGATTTAATCGAGAAAGTACAGAAGGTTACACCACTCAGCGCATGGGATGAAGCCAGACGAAAGATTGAACTCGATGAGGTCAAACGAACTGAACTGTTGAACATGAAGTGAGTTGAAGTTGAAACATTTTTTTTTAATTCTTCTGCGTAGTGATGAAGAAGAAAACATTTTTTCCTCACAAAATGAAATTTTGTGCAAATTCTAATGAAAGACAAAATTTTTGCAGGAAATTGGCTGAAAATCGCTCAAAAGTAGCATTGGAAAAGGAGAAAATCCGAAGAGATTATGAACTAATGTCGACACAATTGAGTGAAATTTTGAAGAACAATGAATTAGCTAACAGTTTTGTACAGGTGAGTAAGAGAATTTCATTGAAAAATAACAATAAACCACTAAAATATACCAAATTCTTTTTACCAGACCAATGAAATGCTTTCGGAGTCACGACTCAAGCGATTAGCCGAAGAGAAGCAACAATTGATGAATGAAGAATTTCGTAGTGTTTTAAAAAAACCGACCGTAATCACATGTCCAAAGGTTAATCCAAAGGGTGTCAGAGCTTCCTCTCAGCAGCGATCAGATTCGGATGATTTAAATGTCGCCGAAGCTAAGTCTAAAGCCAGATCGAATGGTACTAAACCGAAACAATTGCAAAAGGAAGATGTGTCATCTGATAGCACCAACTCATTTTTGTTGGATTATGTCACCGAACGCTCGAATAACATCACTGACGATATAAATCGTTGTCGAAACAATAACAATGACAAAGGTTCGAATCAAACGAAAATTAAGGCTCTACATGAATTACTCAACCAAGTCAATTCATTCCGCCGACTTTTGTGCGAAGAAATCCAACAGAACAATGGTGATATAAGCCGCATTGACACCAGCCAATTCATGACCGAAATCGATAAAGTAGAAGAGAAGCAACAAGAAATTATGAATGAAAAATCTGTTGAAAAGACATCGGTTAAAAAACAGTCGATGCCGGATCGAGAAGGTGAACAAGATCGCGAACGAGAACGCGAACGAGAACAAGAGCTGAAGGAACGTGAACGTCTTTTGAAAATCAAAGAGTCGTGCATCGACGAAAAAGCCCGTCAGCTGTACTTAAGAGAGAAAAAGATCGTAGAACAGAAAAATCAGCCGATTAAATCGGCCCTAAAATCGACTAAGGATAAAAATGCCGTTGCTGTTGTAACCGCCAATGGAACAGAGTCCCGAGACGATATACCAGTGCGAATTGTGATCAATGTGAATAAAAATGAACAACGTAGAGAAAAATCCACGGAAGTTGTTGTGAACGACGTGAAATGGGGTGAAAAATTGAAAAAATCTTCAAAAGAAAATATTCAAATCGTCCCAGTGACGAATGGAAATGGCAAAATATACCCAAAAACTCCGGCCAAATCAAAGGTCACTAAAACGGAACGGAAAGAGTTTGACATTTTATCAGAATCAACAACACTCACTGCCTATTTAAGCCCACCGGTACAAGTTGAAACGCAATTAACAAAAGCAATGCAACATGGTGCCATATCAAATGATTTGAATAATCAATCATCGGGTGAGAACAAACCGGTTAGTGACACTGAACTCCTACACTATGTAATTCGAATGTTAGGTATGTCACGAACATCGATCGAGCAGTTGAATATGAGTTCAGTGAGCACGGTTCGAACTCCTAATTCATCGATCATCAATGTGAGCAGCAATCGACAATTCATATCGAGTACGACCTCAACACCAATTTCCCATATATCTTCAGCTTCTGTCGAACAATTGCAATTGGTGGACAAGGCGAAACTTCAACAACTCGCCCGCTTTTTGGCGGAAAATAACAAATTAGCAACAAAAACGCGCAAAGACAGCAAAGAAAGTGGCGCATCCAGTGGTGTCTGGGATGATATTTTGTCGAAGAAAAACGAACCGAATTCGAAATCCGAAAAAACCGACAACGCGAAACCGAAACCAACGAAAGAAGCATCGCTTAAAAATGATCCGGTACAAGATCCAGACGAAAAGTTATCAAGAGACGATTTGATTGCCAAATATGATGAACTGGCAGCCAACTGCACTAAGCGCATCATCAATTTGGACTCAATGATTTCGAAGGTTCGCGAAGAGAAGCAAAAATTGTTGGAGAATACACTTTCATCGGCAAGCAGTTTGTTAACAGGACAAAAGGAAACCGGGCCCACGGAATATTTGGATATACCACAACCGGAACAGAATCAAAAAGGACAACAAGTCAACGGCTCACCACTATCCGATAGTAAAGGTACAAATGCACCCTCATCCGATTTCTCATCAACAAGTGGAACGGCTGATACTTCGATGCCCATTGAAAATCGAGCGAGTCTTTTTGCAAGCAGAAACAAACCGCTCGGCGAAAGCAAAGACAGTGGCGTTGGCAACAGTAGACCAGTCACTTCGTCGGATTATCGCGAAAGTCCCGATTTGAAGCAAACCACAAAGGCCGCCGAATTGGAACGGAATACGAAGCTACTGCAAAATGCATTGCGCGAAAGTCAGCAAAAGGCTGATTTTGTGCCGTTTTTGAAAGACGTTCCGAAATTCAATTATTCATCGGAGCAAGAACAACAAAAATCACTCGAACCAATGCCAACGAATAGCCGAGATAAGAGTGTGAAACCACCGCCACCAGTTGCTATGACGAGGTAAATTTTGATTGCATTCTGAGTTTGTGAGCAATTTTCGATCAATTTCAATTGATTGGTTGCTTAAAAGTAAATTAAATATATAGATAAACTCACCAAAACCTCCTCTCTTACAGATACAGTCCACAACTGGAGGACGAGTTACCACATGAGCTATCAACAATAACTGAAGTCGACACACCAGTCACATCCCGATTGAATGCAACCGATATGACGAATGTGATTGAAACAACGACGAAAAATGGCTCCATAAAACTGGCACCAGATGACGAAGCACTCAAGCTCCTCTACAAAGCGTTTCCAAATTTCAAGGAATACATCAAAGCAAATCCTGACATTTCTCAGCTGTCATTGGCCAGTGTGAATGAATCCATTGCTACTGGAACGAGTAGTGTGTTGACCGATACAAAATTAGTGAAATTGCTTGAAGGTGTTCAAACCGATGACTTTAACTACAGAACATTCCAAGGTGACCGCCCAGATCTGGATAGCATACAATTGAATGAATCTGAATTGGCGTTGAGCTATAAAAAATTCCCAACACATTCCGAATATGCAAAATCGGTTCCTGGTTTGCTGGATAGTCAAAGCATCGAACAAGTCGATCTGTCCGATGCAACTGAAACCTCGAACTCCAGCCTACCGGATATTGTCAATGAACTAAAGAGCAGAAAAATACTGGAGCATTCATTCGAAGAAGCAAAAGACAAAGGAGGAAACTTGGACGATTTGCTTGTGATTCATAGCAATCGAAAGACCTCTTCTCTGACAACGCTACCAAATGACGAAGTGTTTTCGGATGCACTCGAAAACGAATTAAATGACATGGGTTTGGCTTGGGTTTCAGCAGAGCTAAAGAAATCAAAAGCAGTCGGTGCATCTACATCACAATCGTCAGATTCTTCGAATCATGGTGATAAATCGCGTCAACCATCATCGCCGGTCAAACCGAAAGCGGCTAAGAGAACATTCCAAAAGATGAATCAAAGCAAGGCCACCAATGACAGTTTTGTTGATAAAAATTTAGTCGCAACACACACTGGGACAGTAGAACGCAACGCAACAACATCACAGCCAACTGATCCCGAATCACTTGCAAAATCGATCAAACTCAAAGATTTTCTTGCTCGTGAGCTGTTGAAGCATAGCTCAATATCGTCGTCATCCGATTCGTCTATGGTCAGCATATTTCTGAAATCATTTTTGGGCCCCACGTCGGGTTGCATGCCAGAAACTCCACAGAATCGCGGCGTCGATAAGCAACGCACATCAACTCCGGTTGATCATAGCAGCGACGGAAAAGATTCAGGCTCACGAAAAGTTTATCGCACATCAAGCACCATTCAAGATTCGAATAAAAATCAAACCGAATCGCCCACGTTTTTCTCAAACGATAGTCAAATATCATCGGTGCGCATGAGTACAACTGACTCAACGTCCTAAGCTCACAGCGATGATCAGCAACAGTATACTTAATGATTTTTTGGATGAATTTGCATTTAGCAGGATCTGAATCGTACAAAAAGACACTTTTTTCTCTAAATTAGATTTGACAGCATATTGCTCAATGATACTTAAAACAGATTTATTACCACTTAGATTTTTAGAACAAATTTTAAGCCTTAACAGCAAAATGCATTTAAATGGAATCGATTTGACTGAATCACATACGAAATAAGAGATTTTATCGAATACTAGATCTGCACCCAACAGTAATTATCTTGTACTTAACATGCTCAATTTTATACGCATTTTTTTTAAACGAAAACAACGAATTTCTGTGCCTTGCATTCCGAATACTCAACAATACAACGAATTTGCATGATGCATGATGCTTTTTAAATCGTATCAACATTTTTTCAATAGAAAACCATACACATATTCATTTCGAAAGCTATAATAAGAAATTTAATGCTTTTTAAGAAAATTTTATGATTGTTAAACTTTGTTCAATGTAATAGTTAAAAAGGGCACCATTAGGATTAAATAAATTGCCATGATTATGTTCACCTGAAACAAGCCGGATTTTTTTCTACTTTGTTATATTTGATTTTTCATCATTCTTTCCATTTACTTCGTTTTATTCTAGATTGAGAAATGATGAAAAATACCAAGAAAACTCAATGAGAAATTCAGCGCATAATGAAGAAGAACAGAAAGTTCGTATCAAATTGTGCGCTCTCTACACTGTCAACATACTGTGACTGAATGACAAATGTCATTGTCAACAATGCTCTCTCTCTCTCTCTCTTCAATTGCATTGACTTTTGTTGCTCATCAATAAGTATTCGGAGCGTAGTGGTATTCCGATTGTGTATTAAAAGCAAGGAAAATTCCTACAAATTTTTATCACTGATTGAATTCTTTCGGAAAAACCAACAATTACACAGGTGAGTGTCGTTTTATTTAGTAAGAACACAAATGCTATCGTTCAAATGTATGCATTTGACGATGTTTTTATAACATAACCTCAAATTAGTCGTATCAAAATAAATTTTCATAATTTTTTGAATTTAGGTGGTTTGAAACGCGCCTGAATCACAATGTCAATGTTCAGTGGTTTTGTGTCAACCTTGCGGCAATTCGTTGTCAAAACACCACAGATACAGCCAGTTCGATATCGGTATTATGCCGAAAAGAAACCATTTATCCGGCGTTATGGATATGAAGATAATTTGGGTCGCAGTGGCTTATTACCTCACTATGGAGACAAGCGGATTATGTCATTCCCTCAATACAAGTATGCGTTTTTGTTCATTGTGCATTGAATCGTTTCACTTGAACTCTTGTGTACTTTCCAGACCAAAAAATTCATGGAATGAGAAACGATCCTTGTTCGGTCAAAATGACTACATTGATATTTTAGGCAATGACAACTTGCATCCATCTCGCGTTCTGTATAATCTGCCAGCGTGGATCCGTGGTGCCCAAGGCGATGAATACAAGATGCTGTTACGTAAACGACGTGTGTTTAGTCAATCGCTGTTCCCAATTGCTCGGCCGTCCAAGTGGCGAGATCTCAACAAACGCATTAAATACCTGTACAAATTCTTGAATCAAAAGACGAAAACACCAATGGGTAAAGATTAAGCGTTTTGTTGATCAAAAGAAACCGTTTTTTATTAGCATTTTGAAACCAATAAAATCGAAAACTGTTTTCTCGAGCAAAAGAGTAAAGAACTTATTTATTTTCTATTTCTTTGACAAGACTGGTTCAAATTACTGGCTATTCAATCGACAGCTACTCTTACTAGTGTAAAATAAAAATATAAATAGAAAAAATGTAGGAATTTCTTTGTTGACAATTGTATCGAAGAATTGATTATTGTTTTCTTTGTAGATGCGTGTAAATCGTGTATGCTTTCATTTATAGCCTAGAATTACGAATTATTACATAATAATTTGCGGTTCTGGAACACTGGACTGTATGCTTTTATGGGGTAAAACTTGGCCACCATTTATGTAGATTTCGTCTTTGACGATGACATCCTCTCCGAGCACGGTTGTACCTTCCATGCGAACCCATCGACCGACCGTCGATCGCCAACCAACTATACAGCTGTCAAGCCAGGCATGGCTTTTGATTATTGCACCCTCCAGTATTGTGGAACGCTTGATACAGGCGCCTGTCAATGCAATTGATCATTATTAGCATATTTTTCATCGAATCAGACAAAGAGAATTCTTGAGTATTCAATTACCATCTTCAATTACGCAATTTGGTCCGACTGTTACATTTGGTCCGATTTGGCAATTTGCTCCAATTGTCGCCGTTGGATGCACCAGAACATTTCCTACGATCGTTCTCTTTTCGGCAGGACTTTGATACAGCAATGATGAATTCTTTTGGCGTAATGAGTTCAAATACAAACACATTCCTGGAATTGAGAAGCACATACATTATGAAAATGTAACACATGAAACGTGCTTTTAAAATCGAATTCACAATATTCGACAAGAAAACTTGTATTCTCTGAATAAGAATCCATACCAGTTAGAAAATCCTTTGGTTGACCAATATCCATCCAAAAGCCTGACAACTCAAACGCGTACAATTGCTGCTCCTTTGCCATCACTGGGAACACCTCTTTCTCAATTGAGGTCGGTTTGATTTCAATTCTACTCAATACTGACGGATTCAAAATGTACATTCCTGCAAAAAGTGAAGAACAAAAAAATTGAAATGAAACATAAATCTGAATAACTATTTAAAACAAAAAATCGATTAAAATACGAAAACCACAAGAAAAAACCTACCGGCATTGATTTTATTGCTAATAAATTCCTGTGGTTTTTCAACAAAATCACGAATACAACCAGCTTCATCATACAAAACGACACCGTATTTCGATGGTTCTTCGACTTTGGTCACAACAATTGTACCCTCCTGTCCGTGATTCCGATGGAATGCTTCAAGCTCACGAAATGGAAAATCACAAATCACATCCGAATTAAGAACGAAAAATGGTTCATCGCTAGAAGTGAGTAGATCTCGTGCCAGTGCCAATGGGCCGGCCGTTCCAAGTGGCTCCGTTTCATGTGAGAAAATCAATTCAACACCAAGCTTCTGACTTTCTTCTTTCAATTGCTGCTCCATTTGTTCGGCTCGGTATGAAACCGCCAAAATGACCTCTCGCACACCGGCTTCAACAAGTGCTTCGATTTGATGCATCAAAATCGGTTTATTGCTGAACTCCACCAATGGCTTTGGTCTGCTCAATGTTAATGGTCTAAGACGTGTTCCATAGCCGCCAACTAGGATCAGAGCTCGTGTATTCTTTGAAACCAGATTGTTCGTTGTTGCACCCATTGTAATTGATTTTTTTTTCTCGACTTCACTTTACACACACAAAAAAGAACTGTGTCGAATTCAACCAAAATGATTTAACACACTAAATATACAATGTATAAAAAATATAGAACACGGTTCCCACGATATATATTTATAATTCTCGATAGCCTAAATCTGGTTTTGTTTACAATTCATGCAAAAACAATTAATCAGAACGCAATGTTTTTTTTAAACCTTTTTTTTTTTTTTTTGACACGTACACAATTCGATATTTGGTTGATTCTACCGTGTTACCGTCTGACTCACTGAACCATCAACGTAATGAATAAATTTTACAACTAAATTCAAATATATGAAACAAAAAATTACGATAACAGTAAAAAAAGTTAGCCAAAAGTTATCTGCTCGTTTTATGTGTTGTTGTTCATTTTGACGTTGTCGCTATGATAAGAAGCTTTGTTCAGGCGTTTGCCCGCAATGTGAATATAATGGATTTTGATCACCATTTACACGTCACTTGCCCATATAACTTCGTTTTCGGTCTTTGTTTGTTTAGTAAATAACGCTGAATTCGGTGTGTTAAGTACGCAATGTACTTTGCATTTGGTGTCAAGCCGATTGTTATAATATTGGTTTGAGAATATCGACATGTATTTTTTGATTTAGTGTTCAAGCGAAATTCATTCATAAGATTCAAAAGTCGAATTGAAGAGACTTACAGTAATTTAGAATCAGCCTGTCATTGAAGAAAGGAAAAAAGTCGTATAAAAATTGGAATTATGCGGCTTTTCCCTGCATTGATGAACTCTAAGTAATTTAATAAACTACATTTTGTTAGGTAGTTTCCTTGTAGCTCAACTCAGCAACTTTATTTCAGCTTTGTTTACATTTTTCCGTTCAAATGCCCATCATTACTAGAAACTCTCCATAACATCGATGTTGAAAAAAATATTGATGGAAAAAAGGAACAAAAAAAAGTGTCTTCAACATATTTGAATAGTCGAATTTACTTTATTTACTAATTTGCATTATCATTATCGTCAGAACTTGAATCGCTACAGTAATTACGAACTAAAGAGAGTGAGAGTGGAACCTTTGGTGATTTTAATGAATTTTCACTCGTTTGATTTTTGTCTGCAACATCAACCATTTTCTCTTCCATTGAATCTATTGAAATTGATGGATCTTCTTCAGATTTTTCCTCCAGACTTTGCTTTGTAACCGTTTCCGCTGGTTTACTTCTTTTGGTCGAATCTTCGTTGCTTTCATCCGATTTACGTTTGATGCCCAAATCGTTTTTAGTGAGTTTTGTGTTCAACAATCGCTGACTCCTTAAATTGCTAATAGCTTTGATTGCGGGCAACGCTGGTCGATTGATCATTTCTTCTTTCCGATCTTTCTCATTGATCACCCTTTCCGACTGCAATCGCATCATCGCCGCCAGCCGAGTGTCTTGATCATTTTCGGGCAATAGTTCAATATCGAGACTAGACCTTGACAACAATGCTTTATCTTTATCCGCTTCCAGTTTTAACTCCTTTTTCTTATTCCGAAATTCCGCACGAAGCTTTGAATTGGCCATGTAGTCATCGTCCCAAGTGTAATGATTTCTTTCGTAGAGTTTGTATAGAGCGGGTTTGGCATCATCGCATTTCTTTGAATCTGATGCCACATGCTCCAATTTATACATGGGATCGTCGAACAGTCGCCGTTGTGTCTCTTTGGTGTCTGGTACAACTTGGCCATTTTCAGTTGGATCCCAGCGATTCTCTTGTCGTCTCGCTCCCGACACAATTTCATAGTCCAAATTCCCCGGATCCGTTTTGATCACGATGTAATTGTCACACAAATGGCATTTCATTTTGAACTGATAAACTGGTGTCGAATAGTACATGCCAACCTTGGTTTTCTCCGCATTGTATCGAACACCCATTCCAATGTGGTTTTTGCATCCTTCGCACCAGATGTTGTAGGGCATCTCGAAACGAATGATGATGATCCCAAGATGGATCTTCCGGGCACGCTCTCGCAATGCATGTGTGCCAAGAAATTTATTCAAACCTCCAGCTCGCGGATCATAGTCTGGCGGATAATATTTGTTTTGTCCTTTACGTTCACCCATCTTTGCTTCTTGTAATCACCGAACAACGAATAAAATTTACTAATAGATTATGCTTCTGGGGAAATCGAATCTCAATCGAAATGACCCAATGAAATTAACAATAAATTATTACACTATTATTGTAAAACCAATTTTTTTTGTGTGAATTTCACGAGTTTTTCACTTGCTAAGCTAATCACAACATTCAATCGTTGTCAAACGTCAACACATGTCAACATAACATTCGCCAGTTAAGTATGCATTGAGTGCTGCATTTTAAATACACTTGTACTTCAGTGACTTGTCTGAAGAACCAATCTACTAACTGATCTAACAAATTTTAATCATACTTTTTAACTTTGAAATTTTATATGAAACAAATTTTATTATTTCTGAAAATAATTTTCCAACTTGTCTTTCGTTTACCGTACAAACCATTGTTAAATATGTTGTTCGTAACGGACAATTTTGCAAAAAAGAGCAATTTTTATCTGAGGTGCACTCTATTTGCTGCTCGATCGAATTGAATTTTCAAACTTTCTTCTATTTCTGCATTCGTAACAAATTTCAATTATCAGCGCCCCAGGAGCGCTTTATACCGATTCCAACGAAAAAAAATTCCACTTTGATCCACGATGAGCAAGACGACGATGACAATGATAATGATGCACCAAATATATTAGCATGGACAAAACCAAAGCTGCCGTTGGATCAATACATGTTACATAATAAGAATATACGGTTTTTGACGCCAAAGTCCGACCCCGCAATGAATCGCTGTTGCACTTTCTTCATAAGAAATATAAAATGGGAACGAACACGTTTTAAACCTTTCTGAAAACAGATGGGTGATAAGTGCCTTCGGGAAAGAGGCAGGTGATATCTTACAGCCAAGAGTTGAGCATTTTGTGAAAACGAAATATGGTGAAAAATGTCCTTAACAAGCGAATGGGCTTTTGCGGGGTAGCTCTTCAACAAATTGAAGAATTAAAAATTCCTTTTGGACAAACAGAACAGCTGTGGAAAATGGAACAAATCTCAAAGACGATAATAATTTCACATTTTTCTGTCGAAATGTGAATGAGTCAGTAGTTTTAGTTTTGAAATTGATTGAATTTCAACCCCTTATTAACGAATCGGATTTTCCATACATAAAGATGAATTTTTCGAGCACATGCCAAATAATGGGTTAATATAACTTATGTATTAATTGAGGTAAAATAAACGAATTTAGTCGGGTTCATCATAAACGAGGGTAAGTAACAAAAATAGTTGATTCACAATCGTTATTCGTTTATTGCGCTTATCTATCCAAAAAGGATGGCCATGAAAAATGTATAATACCATTGAATCGTTTTTAAATACGTGTCCATCAGTTTCTTCATGTATTTTAAGAACAAGCAGTGGATAAAATAGAACAGTCGCTTGATCCTACTGCCAGTTCAATAGTACCAGTCTTGATGCAAATTACAAGCTGGTATCACCTGTGATTCCGTACCATAGGTAAGATGTTTTCTTAAGTGAATAATTTGGTAGAAAAAAATAATCCTTTAAAAAAAAAACTCATGATTGATAAACTTGATAATAATTTTAAACTTTCAAATGAATTCAAACATTATTCCAATAGCATAATAATTTTTGTGAATGAATATTCTGAACAGCCGATTTGAAAACAACTGAAAAATTTCGCACAAGAAAATGAGCCCATTGGCAACCGCAAAATTAGCGCTGACTTGGCTTTGCCTTTATCCTCCCGATGCAAGTACCAGTGTTCGTAGGAAAAGGGCATTCGTGGCATTTACTACCCTCATAATCACGGTTCAAGCGATTGGAATCACTGCGGGCATTGTGTTTGTCGCTAAAAAATTTTCAACTGAATTGGAAAAATCCTTGTTTGAATCGTTCATAATTTTAGGCCACGCTTGCACGGTATACATGGCCCTCGTTGCTTTTCTCCTGCGAGAACAAATTCCAAAAATTTTTACGGATTTGTCGGACATTTACAAAGAATGTAAGATTTCATTTCAAATGAATTGATTAACACAAAATATCTCTTAAGCAAATATATTCTCACTTCAGATGTGAATGACGACTCGTTTCGGTTCTTGGTTCAAGCAAATGACAAAAGCGAATGGACGTGGAAGTTTTACTTCAAGTACGTGTTTAACATTTCCTGTGTCGGTAGCTACATATTTGCCAGCGTGACCTCGGTTCTTTTGTGCTTCTACAAATATGGGAAATTCGAACATGAGCAATTGTATGTGCCGTACAGTTTAATGTAAGCTATGGCTCCCTATACTTCATAAAGTTCGGTACGATCGGTATATTACAATGAATATGTACCTTACAGTTTACCTTGGAATCAGACGACGCCCATTGGATACTTCGGAGAAATCGGGTTGAGCATTTGTTTCGCTGGTTGTTATTTTTTCATGAACGGAGTCGTTTTCTTGTTGTTCATTTCATTTTGTTTGCATCATCAAGCCTTCTACCGAATGTTGAAAAATTCATTGAAAATATTCGATTATCCGGACAAACATCGTGATGATAAACAATTGTTGTGTAAACTGATTCGGTCTCATATTTCGGTTAGAAAGTACGTATTACCATTTTGCTATTCTCTTATCGCCCCATGCAATGTTAATGATGAACCCCTTTTTCAGCTGGTTTTCACTTTCGGCTGAAATTTATCAACTTTTTCTTTTTGTTGAGATCGTTTGCAACATGCTGTTATTGTCTATTTCTCTTCTTACCTTGGATCAAGTAATTTTCTTTTAACTTCAAGATATTTCCATTTGTGATGAATGAACCAACGTTCGATTTTATTTGAATAATAATATTTCAATTGATTTCCAGCAATTGCGCAGTATTGACTTTGGCTTCTTCATTTATCTGCTTGCGCTTTTAGTTGGTCTATCCAATTTGTTCCTCTACTGTTTCTTTGGGAAAATCACTACATACAGTTTTGAAAAGATGTTTCGCTGTCTCTATGAATTCAACTGGATGGAAATACCAATCGATTTACAAAAGTATGTGATCGTTATGCAATTGAATGCACAGAAACCTATATTTTATCACGGATTTGGTCTTGTCACATTGAATTTGGAGACATTTACCAAAGTGAGTTAGATTTTATCAGTTGATTGACATTCAAACAATAGCCAATGAACCGAATTTATCACTTACAGGTTATCAAGGCCGCTTTCACGTACTACATGGTTTTTAAAACCGTTACCAAATGAACTAAAATGCATGGAAATTATATGTTGAGTCACATTTTCTTGAAAATAGAAATCTTAGAAACTAATTTTTATGTCACATTCTTATCTAACAAGCACAAAATTTGATTATGGAATAACCGAGTAATATCCAGGTAATAATTTCAACAATTCTAGTGTTAATGTTGGTTTAAATCACAAAATAACATCACTATCCACAATTCAATTTAAAAAAAAAAGAAGAAAACATTTGTTCAACAAGCACATTTAAACTTTTATGACACATTTTCAAATATATACCATGAATATTAGGATCACAAAATTATATTGTTATATCAATAGAATAAGAAATACCGTGACCGAAAAATGAAGTGCATTGGTAGTGGTTTTCAGTACTTTCAGTGCCCAATGTAGTAGTATATGAAAGCACTGAAAATGGCATTATCTTTTGAGGAGAAAAATGAATGGATCTGTCAAAACAAATTTCAATTGTCAAAAATTCCGATCTATTTTGATACTGAAAAACACTGAAAAGTACTGAAAATATTTTTCATTTCTTTTCAGTTGTTTTCAGTGGATTTCAGTGCTTTCAAACTGAAAGTTTCAATCTTTTCAGTAGTGATTTGCCCCTTGGTGAGTTCGCTTGCGAAAGGAATTTAAGTCGATTTAAACATATTTTTTCTTTACAAACTACTCGAAACTACTTCGAATTAAATACGATTCACGTTCTTCGATAACATTCAAATCGTGCATTAGAGTATTATTGCAGTACTGTTTGAAACATAAAATGATACCATTGTCAACAATAACACAAGTGCTAACGTGGATTTGTCTCTATCCTCCTGATGTGGCCACTAGCATTCAGAAGAGAAGGGCATGCATGGCATTTACGTTCATGATAGTTGCCATTTATAATTGGAATTAGTGCGTTAATCGTGTATGTGTTAAAGTTCATTTCAATCGATATGGAAATTTCATTATTTGGGTCTCCCATGAACCATTCAACCCTTTTGTACATGACGTTGGGTTTTTCGTTTGAATTCAGATGAAGATGTGGCAGTTGTTTCTCAAATGGATATTCAACTCTTTTTGCATTAGCAATTTGTTGGCAAGTGTGGTCTCGGTTCTTATCTGCATCCGCAAATATGGACGGCTTCAATTGGAGCATTTATATCTCCCATATAGTTTAGTGTGAGCCTAATTAATCTTTTTGATTCTTTACTTTGTAATTGTCACCTTACAAAATCGTGGAAAATACTAATATATTTCATAAACTCACCAAACGTCTACATTATGATTAATATTTCAAGCCATGGTATCGTAGATTGTATTTGAGTTCAAAGATTCCTTCGAAATCATTTATCCAATGTATCGTTGTATTTTATTCAATTGTATGGTAATAAAAAATTCACATTCCATTGATTGTTGTGACAAGGCTTTATTTTATTGAATATTCTTTCCTACAAAATTGTCAACAAAAAAGATTCAAAAAAATTGAGAAAAAATGTGTGGTTCAGGACGAACCATTGAACAGTTTGATACTACTAACGTAGTAATTCGTAAAAATGTGTAAAAATGGTGAAAAAAAATATGTCAAAGCATTTGAAAAGAATTAAATGTGGAAAAGAAATCAAATGATCTAATAGTTCGATGGATCGATTATTGTCACAATATCCTTCATCATGTAGCTTCGTAGCTTCCATAGTTCATCAATGGCATCAGCGGATTTTTCCGGTGATTTTGGTCCAAGCCAGTGCATTGGCAATTTGGATGGATCGACTGCTGGTGTTGTTTCGCGTGTGGCCTTCAGTGTTTTTTCCCATGGCGTGATGAAACGCGTTTCACTTTGTAGGCTTTCAATATACTTGATATAGGCTTCTGAATGTAAAACACGTTGGGGTCTTGGCGGAACAGTCACGAACAGAGGTTCAGCGGCGGGTGCTGATAAAACTGAACGAAAAAAAGGAAAACCAAATTAATATCTTTTAAGATAGAGGCAGTTGATGGTAATCATACTTTGAACGGTTTGAACTTGTTGTTGTTGTTGTTGCTGCTGCTGCTGCTGTTGAACTGGCGAAGCAAGGGCTGAGTTGTTTGTAGCTGGCGAAGGAATTGAATTTGAGACGGTTGGCGTCTGAGGAGCAGAAGCTGGCTGATTCTTCTTCGATGGAACGAAATTCCTGCAAATGAGAACCGAAGTTAAATAAAATATATCGAAAACGCAGAAAAAAATCCTTCATTCAAATACATACTTGCTTCTGTCGTGTGGCATCACAATTCGGCCACATTTGATGATGTGCACTTCGCGGACGTGCTTGAGCAAACGCTGCAAATGCGTGAATGGGATGATATTCTTCAGAAAGGAATTGAAATTTTGAACAAAAATATGAATGAAAATTTGAAATTGATGTATAAAATGATGAAAAAATAAAAAAGAAATCAATTTTATTAAGAAAACTTACTCTTCTTATAACAAAACTCAATAAAATCTTAGATTTAGCAAAACATAAAAAAAATTAAGCCAAAATAAATGACATAAAAAATGAACTAAATTAAATGTGCTGATAAACTTCCTGAGCTTATTATATACTTCTTTTCGAGGACAGATTATCTGTTTCTGTGCCAATGTAGTTGTAAATGTTGTTCTATATTCTTCTTCTTAATTTTTTTTCCTATTGTAATCATTTTGTTTGCATATGTGTGATTGTGGAGAACAGAAGTTGAAATGCCAGGTAAAAAAATTGTTGTGACAATTTTGAACCAAAAGTATGTGTGTGTTTTTTTATAAAATAAATTCCAAAATCTCCCAAATTTGGTTTTTTGTTCTTGGAAGCGATGCTATTTAAAATACCAAATTCAATTTTTACCTTCTTGATTTTACGGATGCAATTACGCCACATGCAAGTGTAGTCGATTTCGCCAGTTTTTGATCGTGGTGGCTCTTTGTAATACGTGCTCACATGGCCGTGCCCTTCGGAGATGCAATGTTCAACACAATCGATTGGATCTTCGAATTGATAGTCGCAAGTGTCCCAGCAACATTCAAACACTTGATTTGGCACCGGATCAGCAGTTAAGAATGATTGGAACGTTTGTGGCTGCGGAACTGGGCTCGAGCAACCGTGCTCTTCGGCGTATCTAGCAGCACTCTCTTCGTTCGATCGAGATGCCTTCTCTTCCCAATATTGCTTCTCTTGTGCCGTCATATTTCGCCATTCATTTCCAACCATACGCGAAATGTCACCGAATGAACAATCCGGATTATTTGCCGCACGATCTTTGCGCACTTCACTCGAATAAACGATGTAACCAGTCACAAGCTTTCCTTTGTATTTTGGTTTTTTCGTCGATACCGGTGTGCTTAGGTTTGTGGTCACCGACGACGTAATTACTGGTGCCACTTCGGCACTCGTTGACGGCAGATCAGGCACATCAATTGAATCTTCATTCAGTCCAAGCACATCCGTATTCTCCGTCTTCACATCTGGATCATTGTTCACTTTGACCTGCTCCAAAGCAGCTATTTCGGTTGCACTCACCTATGAAATCATGATTTATGAGTAATTTATTGAATGACGAAGTGAGTTTACAGTCATGGACAAAATTGAGCGTACGCCTATAAATTTTGTGTTTTATTTTTTCCAGTAACTTTTCATTTCAAATGTAATATATCAATGGGAAGTACATGAAAAATGAATAACATTGGCAATTTTGAACATCAAAATTGGCCGGCCAATAGGCGGCTTATGGCCCTCGGTAAAAACGGCCAAAAATTCAAGCCGTTCGATTTAAAAAGTTTAAATGCAGTTTCGAAGGCCTTCAGGAGCAGATGCTTTTAAACGCTGAAAACTTTCTGATTGGTTTCAATTTGGCCAAGTTATGGCCGTTGGAAAAATGGCCGATTTTTTTCGAAAAATTAAACCAAGCGTTTGATTGCGAAATGTCATATGTCGTTGGAAAGCCCATTTAATGAAGATAATTTTAATAGTATAAAACATAGAAATCGGTTACAATTTAACCAAGTTATAGGCGTACGAAAATTTTCGTCAAAATTTTTTTGGGTTTTCCAACGGCCATAACTTGCCCAAATTGAAGCCGATCCGAAAGTTTTCAGCGTTCAAAAGTATCTGCTCCTGAAGGCCTTCAAAACTGCATTTAAACTTTTCAAATCGAACGGCTTGAATTTTTGGCCGTTTTTACCGAGAGCCATAAGCCGCCTATTGGCCGGCCAATTTAGATGTTCAAAATTGCCAATGTTATTCATTTTTCATGTACTTCCCATTGATATATTACATTTGAAATGAAAAGTTACTGGAAAAAATAAAACACAAAATTTATAGGCGTACGCTCAATTTTGTCCATGACTGTATGTTTAGTGATGATTCTTTTTAAAATCATTCAGAGAATCAGCTTATGAGCTGACACGCTTTCATTCATTAATGAACTTACCTTGATTGGTGTGATCTTGTTTTTGAAATGATACATTTCGTCCGGTGTGACGAGTTGGCTGTGTGTGAATTTTCGTAGACCTTGGCCTTGCACATTTTTTCGGATTTGCTTCTTACCTTCGTCGTAAGTTGATTCGCACACATAAACGTCACTCTCTGGGATTTCCGTCGGACGTACTGTTTACCAATAAAAAATAAGGTATTTTTAATCATTCAGTCGATTGTTTGATGCGTTTGATTTTAGTTTACATTTAGATGTTAGCTTAGATCTCCTTTACTCACCTGAAATATACTCATTGTATTCCAAAACGGAGCAGCGACCAACAACGGCAATTGTCGGACTGATGTCTTGCGTTGTAGAAAGCATCAATTCTTGACGATAGAAGAATCGATTTGCTGTTCCGGGTATTTCTGGCGGCAAAAACAGCCATGGCCCTTTGATGTATGACTTTCCACTGGAAATTAAGGTGAAACCAGATTTGAGTTTTGGAAAAAATGAAATTTTGTGAAAAAATATGAATTTTTTCATTCATGATTTTTTCATTAAAAATAAATCCAATTTTCATTACAATAAAGTTTTTAAAAAACTTACTCTTTTGTATCCCAAATGCTCTGAACTTGGGCGATCGATTGTTTTCCCGTATCGGTTGCAACATATACAAAGTCACCACTTTTGATTACGCCATTTCCAACGATGTTGTACTGTTCGTAATAGTTGTTGCCATCATCTGATGAGGCAGGTGATAGGGCCAAAACATTCTGTGGAAATTAAATGGAATTACAAAATGATTGATTTGCTCAAAATGAATTTGGTAAGAATTTCTTATTCGAGTCCTTATTTTATCTTGCAGAAGAATGTAAACAAAAAAGTTCATTACCGGTTTATCTTTTTCAACGAGTGCCTCCTGCAGTTGCAATTCGGCCAATTCGCCCTTGTGCTTTTCAACGCGTTCCTTAAACACGGACATGACTCGTTTCGGTTCGAGCGGAGTTTCACGTGTGACCAATGGTGTGTTGTTCATGAATGGCCAATTCTTAATCTTTTTGAATGCTCGCAATTTGGTGGAGTAACGAGATTCACACACAAAAATATCCTTATCTGTATATCCATCGGGCTTTAGCTTGAAATAATCTTTGGCACTCATGACAAAGCATTTATTTCCCAGACGATTCAACGGCATTGCCTCATGCTGATCGCTTTTGAATAGTTCTTGTTCGAGGAATTTGCGACTAGTCACATGAAACGTTTCGAATGGTCGAAGGAAAACGTTGCCGTACATCATTTGAATACCTTCTTGGTTGGTCCACAATCGTTCGATGTAGAGTACACCAGGAACTGAAATGATGAAGTTCCGATTAGTATTAAGAAAAAGGTCAAATTTGACGGTGAAAACCGAAAAGGTGGAAGAGTAAAAACTTACGTTTATTCTCCGGAACATCGTAGTATGCAAAATCTCCTGGCGAGTAGACTTTTTGATCATGGGTCATGCTTTCACCGTGCATTGACTGTAAAAACAAAAAAAAAAGTTTTAAAAAATCGTCTTCATTTATGTATTTTTACCGTTTACCATATCATTTTCCGTTTCTTGTTCTTGTTCCTCTTGCAAAAGTTTGGTTTGTCTTATCGCCTCGACCGATGCACTCAAATGCATGGCAGTGTAGCTGAGAGCTGGTGATGTGAGTAAATCCTTGCACACTTCATCACGTTTCCGAATGAAAAATGATTGTAGCTCAATGGAATCTTCGAAGATTTGCGAATCAGTACGCGATAATCGGCGAGCCCGATCCAAACAGGTGAACACATCTTCTTGGAATGTATCCAATCGTTTGTACAATCCTTTATCCAAACGACGCTTAATCAAATCCAACGAAATTGCACGCGTTTTTCCGCCATCGACTTCATCGTATTCGGGCAGTTCGGCGAGTGAATCGGAGAAGCAACGACCTTCTTCATCTTGATGATTATAAAATGTGGTGAACAACGACAAAAGCAACTCTTGGATAGCCTGTTGCACATCTGGCACCGAATCATCGCCGTCCCGCAACTGCTGCTTCGTTTGAATACAAATTTGTTGCAAAAGCAAGGCATCCTTGTAGATTTGCGAATCGGGCTCGTTGTATTTGCACGCATTCTCGAACATCAACATAAAATCAGCCGCTATCTCGTCGATGTTGTCGTAGAATTGTTGCCTGAGCTTATGAGCGATTTTCTCCATGTCAACCGGATTTTTGATGATGTCATAGTAATCAGGATAATCCTGAATTTTGAAAGGAAGCAAGGGAAGTTGGACCAATAACACAGAAGCTCCAAACAAAATTTCATTTAAAAACTTACGCTTTTCGATGGCAATTTCATGAATATCAATGCCAACTGTCGATTTGCCTTCGGTTCACGATAATCCCGAATTGCATCGTACAATTGTCGCAGTTTTTCGTCCATTGGCGATATTTGCTTGCGACCGCCCTTGATTCTGTTCATAGGAATATTTCATTGAATTTTTATTAACAATTTTTTAGATTCTTGACTCATTTTTTTCGGCATAAAAGCCAAATCCACTTACATTTTCGGTATTAGCCGACGATCATTGATTCCAGAGAATTCTTTGAGCTTTTCATTGAGCGCTCGCTCCAAAATATTCGCATCTTCATAGATTTGCGATCCTTCCTCGTTGTATTTGCGACAGTTGGCGAACATTAGGCGAAAATCACCGACCACATCATCCAGAGTGCCATATTTATCGGCTTCAATGTTGTATCGAATGGTCATCATATCGATTGGATGTTGAATAATGTCATAGTAATCGGGATACTGTCTCTTTGATGGCTTTTCCATGAACAGAGTCATTGGTCGTCTTCCGTCAAGCTATGGAATTCAAAATGATTCGATTTAAAAAAATTACACATCAAAAACGCGAACAGAGCTTTAAACAAACAACCAACTTACCGTATATTCGGACAAGAATTTCTGCAAATTGAGCAGTTTTTTCTTGAGCATCGGATTGTTTGGGAATTTACACTTTGGACTGTTGCCCGTGTTGATATTCGGTGAACTTGTGGAAACATTTATCGATGAGGTGGCTGGCGATGTTGACGTGACCTTTGGTTTTGGTTTCTTCTTGGTAACAGATTGAGTTGACGAGTTTGTGGTCGATTCTTCTTCGTCGTCATCGCTGTCCTCGTCGCCTGACACATCCACCAGTTTCTGATTAAGAATTTTCAGCATTTTCACCGCATCACGGTGCACCTTATGCGTGACGGGGAACGCTTTCTTAGCATTATCAATCATCAAATACAAATCGGCCGTTAGATCAGTGATATTCGCGTATTCAGCCTTTTTCAATTTGTTTCGAATTTGCGCCATGGAAATCGGTTTGGTGATGGTGAAATAGTATTCCGGGTGGAATCGTCGATTTGGCAATTTCCACAGCGATTCGCCGAGCGGTGCTCCTGAGGCATTAGGATGATCTGTCATCAGTTTTTATTTTATTTAAACAAACGCGAAAGAAAACACACAAAAATAACGAAACATAAGGAATATGGAAATGAACAAAAAAACAGTTAAGTCAGCAAGCGGTTAGTTGGACGTATGAGTTTGTTAATATATGGCTCTACCATTTTTTTTAAAATTCCCTCAAGGTTAGTCACATGGGTTAGCACGATTTCTTTACATACCTGATGCATTGGGTGCATTGTAGAGTTGATCGAAGAGTTGCCAGAGTGGGCCATCGCCTTCGGTTTCCATGTTATCGTCATTCTCATCTTCAGAGTCTTCAACCGGTTCCTTCAGGGCAGCAACCATTGCGCTCAGACTCTGGCCACGTTTTCGTGTTTTACTCTCACGTGGCTTGCACTTTCCCGACTCAATGTCAGCGCGCTTTGCTATGAAAATCTACAAAAACACGGCTTTGTTAATAAAAACCATAAATCTATCAAACCAGCTCACAAATTGTTGGTTCTAACTGAATTTGAGTTCGAAATTCCATTCAAATTCGAGAAGAAATCAATTACCTTCTTCAATGTTTTTGCATCTTTATAGATCTGTGAACCGGGTTCATTGAATATGCATGCATTCTTTGTCATTTGCAGCAAATCCTTCTCCATATCGGCCAGTGTAATGTAGGCGTTGGTTTGAATTTTCGTTGCAATGAATTTCAAATCGATTGGATGCTCAATGATGTCATAGTAATCAGGATATTCACGTTTCGAAGGCAACAATTGGAACATCAAATTCAATGGGCGGCTGTTGTCGTCGGTTGCCGTCATAACCGACGCAAATAGTTCTTCATAATTTTCAATATCATCATCGGCTGCCTTTGAGGATGTTTCCGATGCATCGTCGTTGTCGAGTGCCGACTTTCTTGGCCGTCCGATCTTCTTCACCTTGCTGTTTGGCTCATCGTCGCCAACATTCGACTCGATCAATTTAACCTTATTCTGTTGATATGTGTCCCAAAGTAAGCACGCGTCTTGATATTCACTGGAGTCAGGTTTGTAAAATGCTTTCGAATTATTCACCAACAACTCCAAGTCGGTGGTTAGCTCTTCGACATCCTCATAATTTTCGGTTTTTAGTTTTTGTTGAACTCGCAACAAATCAATTGGATTGTCAACTACATCATAGTATGATGGCTCTTGGCGCCGTTTTGGTGCACGTACAAATGTGTCACAAAGCATTGTTCCGTCCGATTTTTTCACGGCTCTCAACGAATCGTAAAGCTGTTGACACATTTCCATCTGTTTAACAATGACCAAAAGAATTTTAACTGTCATTGATTTTTACTTTGATTTGACCAATGAGTACATACCGGGTCAAGACGCTTTCGCTTACGCGTCGATACCGTTGTCGGTGACTGTTCGGCTATGCTTTCCTCCATTGTATTTTTCAGGCAACCACTAGAAATTGTTCGTCACTTTCTGAGGATGAAGTATCCAATCGAAATGGATGAATAACTGAAATTTTAAAGAAAAATATGTAGGTCGGCATTTACAAAGAGAAAAAATGGTGTTCCAATCAATGAAAAAAACACATTTGATAATTTTTGTTGTCAAAATGTATTTCACAATGATTTTATTGCAAAGAATCCAATTTCAAATTGTTGACGCAAAAATACGTCGAAAATTTTGTTGAAAAACTCACCAAAACCCCAATGGATTTGATTGCAGCACTTAATTTACACGGAATTTAATGTTTTGAGACGCTCACAAATAATGACGGTGTTTCATTTGACTGAATCGATATGAGTTGCAGGAGGCGTCGTTTGCTGTTGAACTGTCAAACGCTGCGTGACACGAGCACATAACCTCAAACTTCACCATTCAACTCACGCAATGACAGTTCGAACTGGAATAACTTTACACCGTAGCGCAGTGAAGGCAGATGTATAGAACCGGTTCTGCATTAATTAGCATAAACCTTGCGATAGAAACAAATCATGCTATTGCTCTTGCAATTATTACCATATAATGTTCGTTATTTTCTATTCCATTCATTTTCAACTGGTTTAATCGCACCGTTAAAACTCGATTTTTTCTTCTAATCAAATAAAATTGATAAAGATAATGTTTTTAGTCATTGATAGTTCAAACCAGTATTCGCCGTTATGGTGTCCATGTATTCTTTAGCCATTTTCCAAATTGAATGAAGTAGAGACGGTGTGGAACAACCTTTCAGCCACTATCTTACCTCGTTCCATTCAAATTCGCCAATTACGCTGATTAACTGAATATGTTAAAACCGCGAAGCAGATGCACCTGTAGACGGCTATGGAAAGAAAGGAAATGAAAACTGCACACGCACACACCATGTACAGATGTTCATTCATATTTTCTTTGTATTTGTTTCATCCGTATAATATCTCACTTACGAAATATAATATATATGAAAACACATTCAACTGTTTTCTTTCATATTTTTTTTTCACTTAACTTGTAGGTGTTTTTTGTTTTAAACTTACATATGAAATATGCTCCTCAATATAGAACCATCTTTTTTTATTCTTCTTTATCATTTCTTTTATTTATATACAGAAAACATTTAAATTTGTCTCCAAAAAACGAAAAAAAAAATTCATCTTCAACGATATTCAATTGTCTCTCATTTGTTGTTGTCATTTAAGTTCCAAACGGTGTAATATCCTTAACAAGTATGCATTCAAATTTAAAAAAAAATTTAACATATTTTCTTCAATTTTTGTTTGTTCAACTTAACAGAAACGATCGCAATGTTTACCAATTTTTTTTTGTCGATTGTTTTTTTTCTTTCATTTTATTTATCTCGAATAGTTTTTTTTCTTTCTTAGAAATAACTTAACGAATAAAGATGGAAATTAAAAAAAAGTGTTCACTGTGTGTGTGTTTGTGTGAGTGTGTTGTTTGTTGCAAAAAGGGACAATTGATTTGAATGTACAAGCTGCCATCACTGAAACTAAACTTTGCATTGCGCTGCCTCCTTATTGAAAACGCGGGAACGAGATTTCTTTCATATTTTTCATTTTCATTTTCTTCTCTCTCTTCACAAGATACCTGATTTGTCTGTTTGTAAATCATTATAAAAGTCATTCATCTTTTATTTTCTATTTTTATATATCGTTCGGAATACGTGACATTGAAAAAAAAGCTTTTATATATATAGTTTAAGGTCATTTATGTCTATATTTCTCTTGCAGACCAAACGCGATCTGTAACGTACATGTATAATTCCACACATATTCTATGTGTATAAAAAATCAAAGATCAATTGTATGTATTCGTGTGGGTTTGGCGTTTGAAACGCGATCAATTCAATTAACACAACAATTTTAGTGATAATTTTTCGCTTGAAAATAAATTTGTTCATTCTATTATCGTTTTTATCTCTTTCAGACAGGCCTTTCCTTTTTATTCTTCTTCTTTACATTTTAACACCTTGTTTTGGTTATCAATAGAACTTGCGATGAAAACGTTGCCGAGAAAATGTGGAACAAAACGTATTGTTAAAAATGAAAAACAAACTAAGAAAAAAAAAAGACGAAGCATATCGACTTCGGTCCGGATTTTTCAGTTCACAGTTTTTTTTTACATTCACAACAGGCTTTTGTGTAAATGTTCATTTCTCTATGGAAATTCAATTCGATGCCAGATTGTATTTTTTTTCTTCTTCTTCTTCTCGTCAAATAAACAGAAATCCATTTATTTCTATAGCCTATGGTTTTTTTTGTTTTAATACAGCGATTTGTTTTCTCTTTTTAAGTATCGTGTACAATATGTGATATCTAAATCGAAATTGTCCATAAGTCCTGTATGAAATATCTGATGTTTTTGATCTTTTTTCTCGTGTATACGTTATAAATAACTGCATTTTCATGTTGTTTTGTCGTTGTGAGTTTGTTTTTATTAAGAAATTATTTCTATTTTCTAGTATAATGTTATTTTGTAAATAGTACATTCAATCCATCGATTAAACTTGTCTATGTTTTCTGCTTGATTCTGTTTCTAGTTCAATTTTTTGTTTTTTTGATTTTGGCTTAAGTGTCTATTCGAAAAAAAATGGGCATTTCAAATGTTCGGTCAAAACTGCGGCGACAAAGCGTTTTTTTGTTGTTTTTTCTTTACTATTTCGTTATTGTATGCGTCAATATGTTTCTAAATGTGGCAAATTCATATCAAATCCAAAAATGAAAATGAGAAAATAAAATCAAAGAAGTAAAAAAAATGGACACTTGCTTTTCATCCGTTCAGTATGTATGCTTGTAACATTGCAACATGCCAACCAAGTCATTCCATTGAAATTCAATCGTTTGTTTTTTTGTTTTTGTTTGTTTGTTTTGTTTTGTTTTGTAAAGTGGAGTAGAGATAGGTCGATTACATCAACACATTTAACACTTATTTTCATCGGATGTGGAGTTTAAATAATCATCAGCACGTTTGTGGTCTTGCAATGCTTGAATTGTATCGTTATTGTGTGGTAGTTCGGATTTGGCTCGCAGCAATGGCTTATCCTTGTTACGCATATTTTTCATCTAGAAATTATATAATCGAATCAATTACCGGCACTGGCGGGGTGGAAGTATTCTTTGTTTTGCTGGATGATGATGTGTGGATAGGTGTGTAAGGGTATTGGTGGTGGAAAACAGTTCATTTCTCTTAACTACGTTTATGAAGTGGGAAGAAAGAAGGGAAGCGGGAAAGATGCACTCAACTATATGCTTTTTTGTTCTACACGTGAAACGCTAGATTTTGTTGTTGATTTGATCAAATATGAAATGCTTTGCAAAATGACTAAGCGATGAGTTTGTTTGTTTTTTTTTTTTTGTATTCTGGCTTGTTTTCGAATGGATTTTCCACTGCATGTCAAAAACTACAGCTACTATTGTGTTCGAATTTACACGGCAATCGATAATAGTTTAGTGTATTACCTCACCACCTCGCTCATAGTCCAAATAATTGTATCGAGCATCATCATCTGGAAATACAAACAAAGCAACCCAATTAAATTCTCAATCAATTTTTTCTCGTTGTTGTTCCATGTTTCATAACAAAACAACAGATAATTGAGTTGTACACTTACCCGCATTTTGCATCCAATCGTTTTTATTTTTCGCTAGATTTTCCACCTGTTGCCATACCACCTCTCTTTGTGACAGCTTTTCATTTTCCCTACGGAGGTAGAGGGAGGGAGTGTGGGAAACACATGAGTAATTCGATTTGCGTGCATTCATTTTCAAGGTCAACGAGCGCAAAACAGAGAAAAACCAAAAACGAATATTATGCAAAACTTACATTTCTCGTTCTTGTTTAAAATTTGTGTTGCACTCATCGAACAGCTTTTGATTCATTTCCATGAATAATTTGAGCGCATTGTAGATTAAGCCATGGATGGTTTTGTTCCAGTGGGTTTTTGAGTTGCGATACAACGATGGGAACATTATGGGCAAAATGACGGTCGAATTCTCCGTAATTAGCGACATAATATATTCATTGTTCCAGTAGTAGAGGGCACGTTCGGCCACTTGAAAATGCGGACTGGACACGCATTTTGCAATTTGTCGAAATAATGGTTCCATAACTTTTTGAAATTCAGCCGGTTCGATGACGTCCAAAATCTCTTCCAATTCATTTAAAAACATCACCTCCTTCGGACTATGCGTTTTGGGCCAGAATTTCAACAGGCTCTTGATTACGGGCTCGGTCAAATTTGGATCTTTTTCCAGGAATTGTACCACACAGTACGTCAACTGGGGATGATACACCGATAAACTTTTCACTTTATGTAACGGCAACAGTACTTTCAATAAAAAGTGCTTGTGCTCCTCTTTTAGCGGCAACGCGAAACCATTTATAATGCTACCTAAAATCTCCAACAACTCGGCTATGCCGTTATGGTGTTCCGTTTCATAAATGAATCTGGAAGAAAAAAATCGGATGTAAATGAATTGGGGTGCATTTCCACATTTTAAAACCATCATAAAACATTTCATTTCTTGCTGCTTTGATGTAACCCACAGCAATGGTATTTTCTATGTGTCATTCATGCGCTATGCTAAAAATAAATATGGAAATGTCATTTCCGTCCACCCGTATGAGCGCTTACCTGTAGAACACATTATTAATTTGTTTCCTAATAAATGTACGTAACGCTAGAAATTTGCCGTAGATACGATGCAAAACCGTTTTCAAGAAGTCGCGTTCACGTGGATCTTCCGAATCGAACAGGTCCAAAAGTTGTAGCAAAAATTGTTGATCGATGAAACGTTTTGCGATGGTCGGCTGAAAGTCGGGCGATTCTAAGAATCGTAAAAACAATTCATACACCAGTTGTAAGTGTGGCCAACTGGCCTCCAAAGTGGGCTCATCTTCTTCGGGATCAAATTCGGCACCATTTGGATTGGAAGACGGCGGCAATGTGCGGAACAAGTTTATCGAGAACTGCAATTGAAAAGGTGAGAATGTGTATTGGTGTGTGTTGGTCATTAGATGGAAGGAATATCATAAAATCGATGAGAAATAAAAGAACAAGAAAAAAAAATGTGGCAAAAAAGCGGTTTGTTACCATATTTATAGCCTCCGGGTAAATTTTTTCCGTAATTACATTGTGCTCGTTGGTCAGGTATTCAACCATTTCATGCAAGGCAGTTCGTTTGACTTCTTTCCACTTCAAATCGCTTAGCGGCTCGGTAAAGTCGAACAGAACGCAACATTGTCGCAATTTCTGTGCGAACAGCTCTTCGCGTTCGGCTGCCGATACCTCTGTAGAGTTGCGTCATGAATTGAATGAAACAGAAGAACAGAAATAGCACAGTCATAAAAATGAAAACATTTAACAGCCGATGTCAAATTGCTCATGTCAAAACCATATGACTTGGGAGGCCAATGGCGAATGATGCAATATTCCACTTACCGGCGAGTCGCGGCAAAGGTGTTAATTCCCGATTTTTCGATATGTTGAACCGTGAACTGTTCATGCGTTTGTCTTTTTTCACTGTATTCGATCCTAGATTGTTTGGTGTCGGATTGGCTTTTGCTATTGGTACGGGCGGTGGACCTTTTGCCGGTTCCGCTTCCCCATTTCGCTGAATATTATTTTCCATCGTTCAATTATCACTGGCGCTATATCGATGCGATGAACGCAATTTTAATCGCACACGTGTTTACGAGAAGTGCATCAAGATTAATCCAGCACACATTAGACAAATAAATTGTGTCATGAGATATCATGGCGTTGCAAAACAAAAAACAAAAGAGAGAAAAAAAGAACAAATGAAAAAGAATTAGCATTGATTAAAATTTAATTTCACCCATTTATTGTATCAAGTATGAAATTGTTCACTTCGAAAATTGCCTTTTCATTGCTTGATAATTAAATTTCAATAACTTTATTGTTCTTTTGCTTTTTCCATGTGTTATACGGTGAAGATGTTGAGTCGGATGAATTTTAGCGAACAACAACGGCGCTGCACGGCCCATGTGTCACATACGATGCCGTATTGTGTATTGATGACGTTTTCTTTTCATTATTCAGATCTTTTCATACCAATTGTGTGCTGATAAGCCAATCAACAATTGTTTCATTCTTTTGAGGCTTTTTTCTTCGCTTCAATGAACAACAACACCATTTTTACGAAGAAAATTAAAGGCGACGACTTTTGTTGACGATTTAACATTAATCTTCGTGCAAATTGAAGTTTTTCTCTTTTATACCTTTAGTCATACACAAACACACTCATACACTCTAGTATCGGCTTCTATTTATTTCCTCGTCAGATTCAAGTGTTTCGCTGACAAAATCTTCGTTTGAATCCCACCAAGAGAGCAAATAAAAAACAACACATATGCATACGAAATATACGATTGCTAGGAGATACAAAAGCATTGCAAACGAGAACTGTCAGTGTCGTCGATACTTGTCAAATTAATATTTTTTCCTCTTTTTTTCGTGTTTCGTATGAAAATTTCATTGAACAAGCCGCAAAATCGACGAAATTAAAATTTACTTTTAGCTTTTTTGATGTGAAAAAGAACGTGAAGGTCTGATCTATAATGATGGCCGACCTGTCGGCAATAACCAATGAATGGCTACGTATGTTCAATGAACACATTTGGCCGACAATATTTACCATGTTTTATAGCAACATCTCTAGCTGCAATGAGATTGAGAAGAGGTTCGGTTTGCTTTAATTGAATTGACGATGGAAATGGAAACACATTTCCCCAAGTTTAATGGAAAATGGTGCACTTGGAAGCAATTTGGCTTGCATTACAAGGTACTTCCTGTCAATGAGTGTTTTTGTTTTGTTTTATACATTTATTTATAGCTCACTTGATCTTTTTAAAAAGCAACAAAATCAACAATCAACAGATTGCGAGTTTTTGATAAAAGAGACAGTAAGTAGACGTCTGCAAAACGCCTCCTTATCAGTATCTCCAATTTTGCCTCACTTCTCAATCGACAATATCAATGTTGCAGTTTTCCTCTTCTGACAGTTTTTCGCGATATTTCGCAATTCAATGCTTGAGCAATTAGAACGTTTCGAAGTGGAGTGACCAAGTGTTAGTGGTTAACGCTTCGAAGGGAAATAAACTGTATGGATTCAAGATCCAAAGACGCATCTGTTCGATGTTACTCGTAATATTCAATAGCACGCAAAATGTTACAAAATATTGCGAATACTTGAATGTGTGAAAACAAGGTCAGCTTTAAATGCAAGTTGATCCGAAGTTCAAAGTCTTCTCAGATAATTTTGTCGATAAACACCAGCATTGTTATTGTATTGAAACGCAAAAATTAACATCACAAAATCCGACAATTACAGTTAATTCAATCGAATGAGCGAGAAAAATACATTCAACGTACGCTCCCCTCAAGCTCACCAATGAAAAGTATTCAAATGTTCAATTCAATTAGTATCAATTTTTCAGCGCGATCGTTTTGCGTTTCGTTTACATTTTCCCTCGTTTTAATTGTTGCTTCTATGTAAACATGAAGAGTGCTCTTTTTCCGTCGTCGTCATCATCGTTGTTGTTGCTGCTGTTTTAGGGGCCAAAAATAAACTCTTGGCGAAATATAATAAACACTACATGTGTGTGTACACGATCAGCAAATATTTTGCCGAAGCGCGGTAATGTAGCATATTTCAAATCGATTGCGATGTATTCGGCGGCAAGACACACGAACAACAACAACAACAATAAAAAAAAAGTAGTCAACGAAATCAAATCAAATGACGAAAACACGGCATAAAACATCAATTGGCGAAGAGCAAATAAAACGAGCAACACTCACTCACATTGGCCGATCGACATGCAAATCAATTTTCTTACATTATTAAAATTGTGTGGCTGACAGGGTTTAATTTTTCTCATCCGCTCGATAGAGCCTCCATAGATTGAATCGAAAGAGTTTTTCAAAAGAGACTCTTTCAAAAGAATCTTTGCAACAATTTTCAATATTCTGCTACAAATTACGGCTGTAAACTATATTCAAATGATTGGTTTTGATTTATATTTTAATACTATGAAGAAAAAAAACTAAAAAAATTGATTTGTATTAAATTTTATTGAAATTATTGATTTCATTAAAAACGATCATTTTGACAATCGTATAAATGTCAAATATGGCATGAAGTTGCAGTGTATGGTGAAATGTCACAAATCATTGTACGACGATTGTCAAAATATGGATCAAACGAAATCAATTATTGCAATAAAATCTAATACAAATCAATTTTTTTAGTTTTTTTCATAATAGTATTAAAATATAAATCAAAACCAATCATTTGAATATAGTTTACAGCCGTAATTTGTAGCAGAATATTGAAAATTTTCGCAAAGATTCTTTTGAAAGAGTCTCTTTTGAAAAACTCTTTCGATTCAATCTATGGAGGCTCTATCGAGCGGATGGGAAAATTTGAACCTTGGTGGCTGAAGATCAAATGACGTTTAATTTATTGCAATAATAATAAATGCGGCGAATAACATTCAATGACTTTCTATTCCGTTTTGATGACGTTGGAATATTTGTCTATCGGCATTTTTCACTTGGTTTTTGCTGTTCATATCGAACTCGACTCGATTCTCAAACAAATGGTGGACTGTGAACTAATTTCGATGCGTATTGTAATGCAAATCTCATTCCGTTCATGTGTTGTATAGCGCAAATATCAAGCCAAAGCTGGAAGAGACACGCTCGAGACTCATCTGAATCCGGTGGACTGATTAGAATACGCTGGCAAAGCATTCTTCTATTCCATTCAAAATCGATTTGCATATGATTTTATTTTCGCTCTCGAGCATTCTTCTTCGTTTTTTTTTCTATCGATATTCATCTTTCTCTCCCTTCCTTGAGCTATCGCTCTCGCTCTCTCGTAATCGATATCGTGTGGTTGTCACCTGATCCGATCGTCAATTCAGTAGATACCGTATATCTCTTGCTCTTTCTTTGGATTTTGTCGAAATGATTTCGACATCACTTTTCTAAATTGGCTCTTGTAAATTAGTCATTTAGTGTCTATTCTCTTTGCTTTTGTTTATTCATAATTTTGTTTGTAAGTAGCGATCGCGCGAGCGCTTCCTTCTCACAATGTAACACAAACGATACAGCACGTACAATGGATTAGGTGCAGTTGACAAAAAAAAATTTCGGAATTCTTTTCAAGAACGCACACGATTGTTTGCATTTCAAATTACAAACATGCACACACACAACGGCCCGAAAGAGAACACAGCCCGTTTTGTACTGCTGCTATTGTTGTTGTTTTCGTCGTCGTCGTTGTCGTTGTCATCGCACTTTATTTTTATTCCATTTATTGTTCGGTCGACTCATATAATAATTCGTAGTCACACATCGACACCGAATATATAAAAACAATACGAAAAATGCATCACGAGTCTAAATAGATTCTCGAATAATTTGCATTCATACAACAAACAGGGAGAGAACACAGTCAGTGTCTGTCATACATTGGCCACAGACACAGTGACAAATCTGCTTATTTATGCAATAGCACACACAGACTAAATATTTTTAGTTTTTCAACACTGGCCAATTTTATCTCTGTTTTATTTATTTCGAGTTTATTTATAACAATTTGTATATACATACGTATGTAGATTGGTCGTTTTGTAAAAACTTGCGAAAAATTCCATCAAAACATTCACATACAGTGATTACTTTTCGGTAGCAGTTTATCCGCTTCGAAATTAAAAAAAACAATATTTATTGCATGAAAATTAAAACACTGACTAATAATTAGAGGCGCAAACAGGAACGAAAATTGGCGCAAACAAGTTATGAAAGATAGAGAAAAAAATGACGAAAAACCCGATCGAAAACACAATGAAAATTGAGAAGAAAACAGCAAATGAGCAGCAACACATCCACTTTGCGAACGTATTGTGTATAAGTAAAATACAATCAAAATGATTGTGAATTCGTCGTCGCCGTTGTCATTGCCGATTGACGGGCTGCCGATTGTGCGGCTCTCTAACCAGCAATAAAAATTAATAACATCGTAATTTCTGGCCCTTATTCTAAAACACTTTGTGCCAGTTTGTGAGCTGTATGGGGGATTTTGGCCCGAGAGAACGAGGGAGAGAAGGAGAAAAACATTCCTCAACACTAGAGCTATTTTATTTTGCACGCAAATATACTTATAAATTATTTCGATACTAAAAACGCACTCTTACTCACTCACTCATACACACACACACACACACGCTCGTTCGATAGCTTGCTCGCGCGACCGTTCATTTCAATGCTTAATTAATCATGGAACGAATCAGAGCCTATACACGCTCTGTCTTCTATTCGACAGCGTACAACCAAAATGGAATCAACGTCATTAGAATAAAATCTAGAATGGGTTTTGAAGATTTTTTTTTTAATGAAGTGCTCTTTTAGTATCGGCGCGCTTGTGAATGAGAGTCGTACGGACAACGAATGAAGCAGAGAAAAACTAGCGACTGTTGAGCAAAGAAAAACCAACACAAAACAAATATCCTCATATATGGCACATGTGTACTTCTCTAACCCGCCCCAAATAAGTGTGCGAGTGTGTCTGTGTGTTGTTTTAGTTCACCTCGATAAGTCCATAATTGAAAACAGATCAACCGAATAAATTGCTTTTTACTCAAACAAACGACAAAAAAAAAACAACACGACGACAACAACAAAATAAACCCGACGAAAGCAAATCGTTGTAGACATTTATAAGAGCAAAGTGGAGAAAAAATGCGGAGCATGTTCACAAATATGAATGAAATTCGATCATTTCACACGAAGCCTGCCAAATGAATGGCATAAATTTTCGGTTGGCATTTAATGCCCAACATTTTTACTTTATATTTTCAGAGATAACGAGAGAGATAGAGAGAAGTTGAATTTTGTCTTGCATCTTGCCCTCTTTAATATTCAGCGAAATGCGAAAAAAAAAACATTTCAAGTGCAAACATGAACACATGCACCGAAAATAAAACATCCGCGTAAAAATATGACGCTTGAGGCACATTACGTTTGTCATCAATTCAGAATTTGTCTGCCTCATTTGTTGTTGCCGTTGTTGTATACGTTCCCTTTTCTTCAGCCTTCAAATGGCAATTATATTCTTATTGCATAGAAAATAAAATTCAAACAAAAATAAAAGAAGAAGACAACGACGGCGACGGCGGCAGCGGCGGTAGAGAATAGCACAGCAAAAGAAAGATAACAATTGCTTTTTTGTTAGTAGTTATGGGCCGTGCTAATCAGAGACATGACATTTGTCAAACGATACAAATCGAGTGGCTTCTCATTTTTATTTCTTGCGTTTTGATTTTCCTCTGAACGCGAATCAAATCAAAACCCATCGATTAAAAATAGTTATTTGATATTGATTTTTTTTTCGCTGTCTTTCTTTCGTTCGTGTCAATCAATACAGGTTTTATTTTTATCACACTTGATAATATTTCATGTTTTTTCTTTCAGCGTTCAGCTGCCTCGCGTAGTGTCTCTTGCTGTCTTTGTCTATTGCTCGTGTCTTTTTCATTTTTTTTTCATTCGTTTTGATAACTGTACACTGAGATTACATTCCTTCTAACAACAATAACTAGCTGGGTCGTTGTATAGAAATATACACACGGAGAGAATTAAGAGAAAGAGAGAAGCACATACCACGCAGCAAATTTGCTGTTGTTGTTGCTGTTGTTGTGGTTGCTTCTGCAATATTTCTGACTTGAACTGAGAGATCTATTCGAGATGAGCTTCTGGTGCGGTGACGAGAAATAATGCAAATCCAGTTTTAAATTGTTTGTAACGTTTTTTAAAGCGTTGCTGTAAGCATAAAACGAATGGATTTTTTCGCACAACGCACCAACAAAAAACACTTGATCTTTTTTTTTTCGAAAAACAAAAATAATAAAAACTTTTCAACTATTTGATTTTCTTTCGTTTCGCCACTGCTTTCTGACTGTTTCACTGGCTGTGTGTTTTTCTTCTTCTTCTTCTTTTTCTTCTTTCAAGTCTTCGTTTGTCGCCTATATTTTCTGCACTTAACACGCACGCACACAACTTTTCTTTCTCGTCGTTTTTTTTTCTTGTATCACAGCGAGCGCAAGTAATGCCATGAACTAAATCAAACTTAAAAAAATCACACTGACAATTGTGAATTGATTTTGAACTCCTTTTTCAGTTCCTATTCAATTTATTCGATTTCGTCACACAAAAAAATTATTTCGTTCACTTTACATCTCCGAATCTGAAACCACATACACACACTCACACGATAAACACTGCAAAATCCCAAAATGAAGAAGAAGAAAAAAAGATACACACTAGGCGAATTGAGATACTTCTTTTTTCCTCTCTACTGATGTTGCTGCTACTGCTGCTTCGTTTCGATGATGACAGGCACGGTCAAACAGAAGAAAATAAAACAAAATAAAACAAATTGAAATGATTTTTGTTTTTTCGTTTCAACACAGAAAACAAAGATTTGGACTTTTCATGGGAACTTGGTACGAGCGAAATAAAACCGCGATCAAGTTGAATGAAAGAGGAATTAATGAAAAAAAGAGAGAATATTTCTTCGCTGCTTCTGGCTCGCTTTTTTTGGTGTGTTCCGTTTGTTTTCTGCTCTGTGTGTTCGCCTCCTATGCTCGAGAGTGTATGTAAAATAATATATGTTTGACAGTTATGCGAAGTGCCATGTAATCCATTAGCAAAGTTTTGTGACTGTGTGTTTTTTCGAATTGTATAACATCATGCTCTTTATTTCGCTCCCTCTCGCTCGCTCTCTCTCTCTCTCTCTCTCTCTCTCTCTCTCTCTCTCTCTCTCTCTTTTCTTTGCGTGTGACGTTGTATGCGAACCGAGAGAATCACACTGTGAGTTTTTATTATAGCCAACAGCAACTTGTACCGCTCAATTGGAATTCCTTTGAACACCATACGGTTGTCTCGGTCGCACACATTTAGTTGACAAATGTTGTCATCGCATCTCTATCTGTCGTACCTCTTTGTTTGATTCGAATTACGTTTTATATATGGCCGCGTTGTATACGTGCGCCACACATCGTAATATTTGCTCTCATTGTCTGTGGTTGTGCGTGTTCGTTATACACGAACACCATTTATTGCGCGCTGCACAAATGTCTGTGTATGTTTGCCCAACAGTCAAATCACGCACCAGCATCATCATCATCACAACTCACGCACGATACGTCGTTGTGAGGTTAGTTCAGTTCAGTCGATTTGACACATTAAAATCAATCTGTCAAAGTCAATACGTTCCAAATAAAAAAACAGTGACTCAAAAGCAAAACCAAGACACAATTACTCAAGCATACACCAAATTTATTGTGAAATAAATTGAACTGTCGACCATGCATTTTGGAGATTAACACCAATCTTGGTTTTGTTTATCGTTGTTCGTTTACACGGAGTTATTTTAAATTAAGAGAAAAGTTGCCAATTCCATTGGTTCACTAGGCAAACGTAGTCAATTTTATAGATTGCATTCAAATCCAAAGTGAAAGCAATGAAAATGAAAACGGGCTTTCGAAACACACAATGGGATCCATTGCTGCTAATAGCACAGATTATAGCTGTTCAATCGCTTCTGTATGTCAGTTTGGGCTTCATTATGGCATTTATGGATGTTTTTGTCGGGGCTAATCATACACTAGACCACCTGTTCCAATACCATGTAAGACATACTGTTGACATTGATACTCAGTCCGAAGTTGTGACTCACAACATTTTCAATTCAATTGATTCGAAAAAAAAAATCTTCTTTTCCAGGAAATTCACGTCACAGACTCGGGCGGTCGATCAGTGATCCTGTCATTTGTTCTGAATGCATTCGTCGGTGCGCTGGCGCTGCGATTTATTGTTGGTCGTACGAAACTCTGCTTAGATTTTACATGTACATATCATTTTGCGCATTTGTTCATTTGTTGGGTGTACAATGGTGCATTTCCCTCAACATTCTCATGGTGGTTCTTGAACGCAGTTTGTGCCACCGTTATGTGTGTCTTCAGTGAATTCCTGTGTTTAAGAATTGAACTCAAGGAAATTCCCGTCGGATATACACCGCTCGATACAAAGGCTGACTTATGAAAACACTTCCAGTGTGATTTGGTTGCCACAACAACAACAACAACAAACGACACACTTGAAAATCCAATCCAATCCGATGAAATACATAGCATTAAGGATCAAACGTGATAATTTATTTGTTAAAAAAATGAACTCTTGAATCTGTAGTCAATAAGTTGTAAGAAAAAAGAGGAAAAAAATATAATAAAATATTTTCAATACTAACACACACACACATCCACATACTTTCTCTCGTCAAATCACGAGCATTTTTCCGCCTTCAGTGCAATGAAACAAAGGCTCCATGAGATTTTATCAGTGAATTTAATACTTCGGTTTCTTTTCTCGTATGTATTTACAATTTATAAATCTATTAAGAAGAAATGTGTTCTACACAAACTCATTCAATTTGAATAATTGTGAGCCTTGGAATGAGCTGCTGTTGCATATCAATGGTTCTATCTAATTAATTTGGAATGTTAATACAACAGAAGAAAAAAAAACATAAAAGTTTCGATTGAACAAAAGAAGAAAAAGAACGAGCTAATAATTTTAAGTAATACAACTTGTAAACACCAAAATGAATTCGCTCGAATTGAAAATTTCTGGGGCGTAATTTTCACTAATGATGACATAATATGTGCGAGTAATTGAAAATAAACCGCATACATTGAGCTGTAATAACATTGAAAACGTTTTGGCAGCAGATGATTTTTTGGGGGCGCGCGAAAATCGTTCAACTTAAAGATCATCATGGTAGTTTTTGTGCCTTTCGACGGCGATATCATACACGTAGTCCAACACAGCCTGCAAGACTGGCTCTTTTGTTGTTCCCAATTGACGAATCATTTCCTGAAGCTTGACCTGGGTATCAGCGTCAATTTTGCTGGCAACTCCTTCGCGTGAACCCATATGCTTGAATTTTTGGGGGAAAAAAAATTTGAAATTTGGAAATATTTGGAATAAAATAATCGATTTCCAGCTCATTTCACACTCAAGATCAAGTTCAAGCAACTTTTTTTTACCTTGGCTTCGAATTCTTTGAATTGCTTCTCACGTTCAGCGCGGTACTTCTCAATTTCTTCTGTTGCCTCATCCTTGGCTTGCTTCAAACGACGTGCCTTACCTAGAAATATGCGGATTTTTTTTTTTTTCAACTTTTTCCAATGAAATCGTCGAAAAAGCCAATATAAATGCCAAAAATCCGTCAAATATGATCATGACATCGATTCAACTGAACATCAAAATATGGTCATGTGACCGTTTGCACAAGCGAAAAACGCTCACATGATCCCGCTATCAATAATTTTTCCACTAGAATTTCAGTATGAAATTCCGATTTTTTTTTTCGACGAAATTATGCCCAATTTCACTTACGTTTACGTGCATCTCCGACTTTATCGGCGGCCTTCTTTTCGGCAGCCAACAATTGTTGAATTCCTTGGGTATTGCTAGCCATTTTTCGTACTTTGCGATGCGGAGCGAACTCAATTTGTTATACACTGACAGTAGAGATAGACTGAGCAATGCAAAATATCAAACATTAACTCCACCGTCTCTCGCTCGTTCAACTGTGTTGTCGAAATCATATGATGTGCACAAGACACAGTTCGATCGCTGAATTAGATGTGTACATGTGTTAGTTCTCCGCAGCCCAATCAGCATTGGGCGTGAGCATGACATTGGCGATTGGTTTGCATACACACGGGCGTTTGATTTGAATTTAAATGTCGACATTTTAATTCTAGTTTCAGCTTCAGTCCAAATGGTTGAGAAAGAGTCTTTTTTCACTTATACTTTCCTCTGTATTTTGATTTTTATAATTTTTCTTCTTTTCCTTCGAAGAATTGAACCAAAAATAAGAATTAAAGCAAAAATAAGTCATTTTGCAAATGTTTTTTTTTGTATTTAAGTTTATTGTATAAAAAAATCTCTTGTATATATCTCATGAATGATGATTGCACGTAATATCATTTCTTTGCTACGAATATTGCACAAGATTGCGTTTATCTTTTGGATTATTTTAGGATTCAGAGTAATAAGTCTAAAAAAATGTCGTATCGTTATTAAATGACCCAATTTCATGAATTAATGTCAATGGATCGGGCTCAAAGTGGAATGTAACAAATGCCGTTTGGAACAAGCGATATGAAAATCTCCTTAAAGAATATGTGATTCAAACAGCAGCTGTAGGCCTATATAATCATTTAAAAAAAAACAATTTACGATAAGATATGATACGAATATCTAGATTAATTCCATGCGTCAATGGCAAAGTGTGAATATCTAAATTGTTTCATTCAAGAAATCTAAGTTGTTGTTCCGTGTTTAGTCGATATTTTTTTAAGTACAGTAAAAATTAAAGTTTTTCTTTTATTCTTATAATCTAAATCGTATGATTAACGAGTATTTGTGAACCAATTTTTGTCCAAGTGGTGCATTTTTGCACTGAAACTTCATTGTCTGGTCAAAAATGATTTGACAGATAATTTCCCATGCATAAATTTGATTGTCTGCACAATTATGTAAACATTTTTCCGTTAAAAAATATTGTTAATTGTGTCACAAGAAATGTTGCATGTGGGAAAGTTGTCGTGGAATTCATGGCAGATAACCTAGGGAATCTTCTAGAGTGGCACCGACCACTTTTGGCGTAATCGTTTGATACATTTCGTTAATTTTCTGTGTATTTTTCCGGAAAATTGGATTTTGTTCAGCGGCTTCGATGACATTCGGAATGATATTGTTGCATTTTGGTCCCATTGAACCGATTCGTTTCATTTGTTGGCTTCGAGTGCTAATCACACTGTTTCGGCGATTGTTGCGTGCTAAGCGCTCCTCTTCGGACGATGTGATGTCACCCTTCAGATGTTTAATATCGGTGGTTTGGCTGAGTTTTACATCGGCAAAAACGGCTGCCATTTCAACGCTTTTCTTCACACTCAATGCCTCCTGTGATCGAATGTGCTTGGCATTTTGGTTGCTCCGTGTTTTTGAACTGCCATGGCGCCGTTGACCTCGATCGTTGCCAACGGTGAAAAGTTCATAATCCAATGCTAAACTATCGCTGACACAAGTGCGATTGACCTTCTTTGTCACGGATGCCGTTGTGCCCGGCACTTGCACAACTCGATGTTTGCAATAGCATTTCGTGGTGCTGTTGCAACTCTCCGTATCACAATAGGTGGCCGTTGATAGGTCATCAGCCGTTCCCTCGCCATCGTCCAGCGAACAGTAGCATTTGTCATCGGTGTGGCATGAAATTAATGTGTCCGTATTCTTAATGTAACTGGATGATCGTTTGCTCTCCTTTAGACGACGCGACAATTTCACTCGACCCGGTCCTAAACTGCAATAGCAACGATCGGCCGACGAACATGTGCATTCATCCGAATATGCACTGCACTCGGAGTATGAAACGTATCTGTGAATAATTGATATCGCATAAATTGACTAACAACGAAAAATTGTCACACCCATAAGTTGATCGATGTTTTTGAAACTTACCCACTGGAACTGTTGCGATTTTGGCCACTGAACGTCAATTCATTTTGTGTTTCCGACAAATCCGATCCACTTGTCACCGCTTTGCTGCTGCGATGATGCTTTTTCACGTAGTTTTGTTTGCTGTGTATTTCGGTGGTGGTGATGCGATTATTTGTGACGGTGGCACTGCTGCCGCGGCTGTTCATTACACGCTTCTTTGCCAATCCATCTAAACTCGCGGCCGTTGTCTTTTTTCGCCTCTGAAAAAAATACTTACTAAATCGAAACACACGTTTTAGCCCATATGAACCAAAAAAGAAGGTTTTTCGTGGATACTGAAACGATAAATTTTGTTCGAAATCCGATTAGTCGTGATGGTTAGTTTTTTTTTTCTTTTTCAAATCGAAACGGGATTTTTGAGACTCTTTTCTGTCGTGAGTTGTGAACAACACCATGGATGAATATTTACTTGATAAGCTTTGTTGCGTCGCATTAGTTTCTTCTTTTGACGCCGCATTATGCTCTTTGATCGCTGATATAATTCGTCTTTTGTCAGTGTGACGGCCAGTTTTAACAGGAATTCCTTGTAAATTGGCTTCAAATCGTTAAATGACATTCCTTCCGAATTTATTATGGCATTCAAAATATCGTCCAGCGAATGAAGATTCTCTTGCAAGCGGAACTCATTGAACAGTTCTGAAAAGCCAAGTGGGGATCTGCACGGAAAATGTTTGGAATTGTCATTCACGGCTTGGAAGAATAGATTTTGAATTCAAATGTTTTTCATGACAATTGCAGCCAGAAAAGTGTCTTACCCTCCACCGCCACCGCTCTTGGCGCGTCTGGTTGCCCGTGATTTATACCGAGCCAAGCCGCTTGTGTTCAAAAAGCTGCCCGACCGTGGAATGGCAACGCGAGTCATGATGTCACCGCCAACTTGATCGGCCGTCTGATAGTGATGCCGATGTGATTGGGCATTCATCTGATGCACTCGATACGACGATGAAATTTTATACAAATCGGAAGCTGCAAGAATCGAATTCAATTTCCATTTTGTAATGTTCATTTCAAACGAGTGTTTTTGTTAATTTTGTCAAGTTTTGTTTTCATTTCCTCTCAATCTGATTACAAATGGTCTATTTCATACGTACCTCGATTATTGTATTCATGCTGTGTTGGCACTGGAGGAGCCCGTCTCGTCTTATAGCTACGTCTTTTGCGTTGATCGCTCGACGATGATGTTTCAAGCAGTGCGTTTCTAACGATGTTGTCAGTGTCGCTGCTCATGGAATTCTCTGCCAATCGTTTGCTATTTGCTTGCATTTGCATTCGAGCGAGACGAGGCGATGGGATTGGTGGTGGTGGCAATGGAATAGTTGGTGGTTTAGCCCGATTACCGGACGAAGCAAGTGATGCTCTTGAGCTACCATAACGATTTGCACCTGAACTACTTGCAATACTCACGCAACTCACACCGTTTTGATTGCGTGGTTTCCGTTGTTTTTCCGTTTGACTGCTGCTCATGTGGGCCAGTAACGACTGATACAGCGTGGCCGCGATGACGATCGCATTTTCGGGCGTTTGACAAACAAACGCATGACATTCTAACTGCTTAGATTGTTGGTTTGGTTGCTTTGAACGCATGACAACCGTGAAAATGGGTGCATGCGAACCAGATGAAAGTCGTCGTCGATCGGACCCACTGAAAGTGTGGGAGTTGTTTTTGTTTTCATTAAAAGCATACATTTATTATGCAAAAAAGAACAAATTGAACAAAGATGCTCAATTTAAATAAATAAGTTGTTAGAAATTGGCATCAAATGGAGTTGTAAAGGTGTGACAAACATACCTAAGCGGTTGAAAAAGTGATTTCTTATCAAGATTTTCCGGATCGGTGATTAATGGAAGGAAAGCGGCACTGTTTTCTGATTGGCTCATCACAAACTTGACCGCCGACCAAACGGCAATATGTTGGAATGGAGTCGGTTGCGACTCATTTGGTGTAGAACCAGTTCGAATTCTTAAACCTCCTTCACATATGTCCAAGTATCCGGTATTTTGATTCTATTATTATGGAGATTTAAAAACAAATACACCGATATTGATTTTCAAAATGAGAATAACTAAAATTAAAACACAAATCGAATTCAAATGATCACAAAAATAAAAACTGGGTCATTAATCGACAAAAGCCTTTAAGCATTTGCATATCAATTGAGATTCTTTCACTTTGGAAAATTAATATGCTATTCTAACTTTTCTTGGGCAAAACAATGACACAATCTGGTGGCTATGTTATCGGATGGCCTACATTTTATTTATACATCATGGAAAATGACAATGAAAACGAACAAAAAAAAACCCAACTTACATTATGGCTTGACCCAGCTATATACAATTTTCGTAGCGGTTCTTGCAATTCAAACAAACTGGTGACTTTACTCTGCAATGGCAACGATCCCAAACATCGAACGGCAAAACTGCAAGTAGTCTCATCGTTGGCCACATCGGTGAACATTCGTTCGATTTGCTTCTGCACTTTGTTATTCACACATTTAACGCCATATTCGATAATATTGGCGGCTGTTGTTGTTGTCGTGGTTGTTGTCATCGTTCTTGTTACATTAATCGGATTGCTGTGACGATATACTCGGGATGATGAGCGATTCGAATTGGTTCCTCTGCCGGAGCTTTCACGCGTCGAACCACGTTGAATATTTGTGGATGATCCACCTCGGATGCTGTTGCTGCGAATACTATTACTACGACCACACCTAATGCCGCTACTGGCTGCCTCCCGTATGCTACCCGCCGATGATAATCGGCTCGAACGGCGTCGCTGACTTATCGATGGATTTATATCGTCCAATCGTTGACTCACCATCGATCTAAATTAAATCCAGTTCATCAATTTATTTATCAATTTCCAATCGATCGCTTGCATAAATTTAACATTCGAAATACCATCAAATCAATAATGGCCATTTCGAATTAATAAACCAGTAGAAAAATAAACAAATTTTGTTACCTGTTATCGTCAAACATTGCATCGATCTTGAGTTTGTAAATGGAATTTCGGCTAACGCTTGACACGGTGTCACACTGATCGTCGAGCAAACGAAAACCCGATGAATTCGAGCTACTGGTTGTGTTTCGTCGTGGTCGCTCCATTTTTTTTATCGAATCAAAATTACAGGTCACCATTTTCTTTTCTCTTGCGCTTACAAACTGAATTCACTGAATTTTCATCATTAACTGTAACGTGGATTGTAATTGATTGTTTATTTTTTGTTTCGTGTAAATACGATTTGTTTTATCCGCTCTAGACTACAACATGTAAGTCACTTCAATTTTTTTCTTGTCTGCTGCCGTTATGTTGTGTATATACTTTGTTGCGGCGCCGAAACACTAAACCTTACAAATTGTTTTATTGCACCGACCATTTGGTCATTTTCCAAAAAAAAAAACAGTTGTTAAAGGGAAAAAACACGTATCCATGCACTATCATCGCATGCGGCTTCAGTCCAGATCGAAACTAATTGTGTGTCTGCAGCAAAATAGACGGGTTGAAATGTATACACGATTCACTAATCACACGAGACACCTTGCACGGTTTGTTTGTTTTTCTGTTTCTCGCACATTTCCATCAGATTAACCGAATACATTGATTGAAACATATGAGCAATTTTATCATTTTCTTTGCGTTTATCGCAACTTTACTCGTAACGTTCAATTAATCTAAGTGCACTAAACAAAATCGTTATATTTCTCATATTATTTTTGTTCTGTTGTTGTTTGATGTCTTAAGTATGTTTCGATTTCTTTTTACATTGGCCAATTGTTCCCGTTCGCGTATTGTATTTTTGCTAGTCGAGTTTAGTTCGATGCGCGATGAGTTTTGTAGCAATATCGGCGCTGATCTATCTCACTGTCTCTGTTTCTCTCGAGCCTCTTTCTTTTCACAGTTGCACAGACAAACACACTCACACACAAAAGAAGTAACACCTTTCTTTTGAAGATAATCTCGTTTCGGAAAACACTTTATTATCTGACGGTTTTCGATTGTCTTTCTGACTTCTGGTACATCACACACAACAGGTGGGGAGAAAAAACTATCCAAATGCTCGTGCTATTGTTTACTCACAGTGGAAAAAATTCCGTTGGTCATTTTGTTGTATTGAATGCGTGCGTGTAAATATATGTGTGTGTTGTTTTTTTACGCCAGTTTCACTACCGATTCCGTGATTTGGCTGGCTTGCTGCACCACTTGCGCAGATATACTATGAATGCGCTCAAGTCCAGTGAATTTCCAGCCTTCACTCTATCATTATTGTGCACATGAATTGCAGCGCACTGAATATGAACGACTTATAAACACCTGTAAACCAATATTTAAAGTCTGTCTCTTTCTGTCTTTCTCTCCTTCTCTCTCTACCTATTCGTTCTCTCGTGCGCTTTCCTTGATTTTTCCAACTCGCGTCAGCAACACCAGCAACAACAACATCAATTACAAACTTTTTGGACACGGTAAGCGATTACTTTGTGAACGATGCCATGAATTGTTTGTTTGCACACTCGGATCTATTGTTTCTGGCTGGTATTTTTCATTTAAATTGTGCGCGCTCGGCAAATACTCGGTTCAAGCAATTGTTCGTCGGGTAATCGAATTAAAAACACAATTGGCCCAAAAGAATCAGCGTTTTTATTTTTCTTTGTTGCTTCTTTCTTTCTTGTTTTTGTTTATTTGGTTGTGATCGAGGTGCTGAGAGAGTAGAGTGTACGGTTGTGTTCGAATTCACGCCGATTGAAGAAAAATTAAAGGTGAAACAAATGTAAGAAATTCAGCAGCGTGTTTCTGGTTCATCAAAGAATCGAGTCATAGACATATAAACAGCGTCGAAGACAGAAGCAATGAATATTTAATTAATAAATCCAATGGTTGACGCGAGCGCGCGCTGTCGATGCTGCACAAACATTGGGAATACTCACGTGCACGTCTTGTTAAATCTCTTTACGTATGCAAATTGTTTTTGTTGTTTTGCGATGATGGAATCGAGCACATGCAAATGCTAATTTATGAGACTACCGATGAGCGACGATGTGATGAGCGTGATCGCAGACAAACCAATTAGATGCTAATTAGAATCTATACACAGACGCACACACACACTCACATTGATTGCTTTATAAAAGTTGCATTTGTCTTTTCGATTGTGTGTGACACGGTGATTGCACTTGTTTCCATGTGTGTTTTGGTTTGGTTGTTTTTTTTGCGCTGCACGATGGGCTGGTTCGTGATCCAATTCGGTTTCAGCTTGTGTGTACTGCTCGATTTTGAACTAAAACGCCGTACAAATATGTTTACGTGATCAATGAAGAGTCGCTGGCTGAAGTGGGCCCCGGCAGGAATTTCAGTCTTGCTACAGCAAACAGGTAGGGAAAGTTCCCACTCGTGTGCAGATCTTTTATTTTCTGTTTTTGTTTCTTTCGCAATTCGAGATCTAAAAAAATACAGAGAAAAAAGCAAATAAACATGAGAATATGCCATATATACCCACACAAAATACATCAAATTTTGTAGTTTCAAAATATCTCGCGTTTTGCATGTGGTTGTTGCGCGCATGCGTCCAAATTACTGTAATCACCGATCCATCTCAATTTGAATGCGGAGAAAGAGTCTCTCTTGTCTCAAAAAAATTCAATCAATTTCTTCGTCTGAACCATTTTTTTTTGTGCTGCCGTCATCATCACGCTAGACGATATTCCAATCATAACTTCCCCATACTTTTGATATTTGCCAATTTTCGCGTTCGCATTTTACTTTTCGGATTGCATTCAGACACACACAAAGTGTGCTGCATTGAATCGATGGTGGTAATTAATTTTGACTTATTCACCACAATTGACTGGCATACACACACACAGAGCGAATGGGGAAATCTCAAAAGTTACAGAACAATCGAGGCGCAAGAATGTTGAAAATGGTTCGAAGAATCGGGAAAAGCATTCACTTTTGAAATGCATCGCTTCAGATGAACGAAAGAAGGGAAAACACCGTCAAGCATTCGATGTGAAATGAAAACTACAAATTGTTATGAAAACCATCCAATTTCGTACAGATTACATATAATCATAATCCACATCGATCGGTATAGTACGTTGGGCTTTTTTAGGAGGGAAATGAGCAATTTCTATTCACAACAAAGTGATCCAAATTTGGTATGAATAAAAAAAAGAGCCGATGACATCAATAAAACGATTCGCAACGAATTAAGTGCACAAAAAACCAAATCTGATCAAATAAATTAGCGAAAAGCTAGGGATGGTGAGGCAAGAGAATGAGAGGAGAAAGATGTAGAGAGCAAAAAAAAATCACCATTAATTGCATGCGCAGTGCATTATAAGGCCAGCTTGAAATGGTAAAATAGTACACAAGAATTGTGTGCGCCGTCAGTGCGCGCGTCATTCGTTCAGCGGCATGGGCACACACCAGCAGTAGCAGCAGCAGCTAGTGTGCAAACAAAAAGTGTGCGCGAGCACACAAAATAATTGCATGAAAATTAATGGATACGCTGTTGCACGGACAAAATGCAACAATAATAGCGAACGGCACAAAAAAAGTGTACATTCTTCGGCTTAAACAGTAGCTAAATCAGTTCGAACGAAAGAAGAGGAAAAATCGTATGGCTCGAATCGCTTTCGATACTCTTTAAGCGAACGTCGTTTCTTTTCGTTGCGCACTTTATTTTGCACACAACGTTTTTTCTTCTGTTCTTTTGTTGTAGAAGGCTTTCAGTTCAACCACAAAAAAGCCCATGTATGATCATCGAGTGGGCTTTCACTTCTAATTATCACACATTTTTACACACAGTTTTGTTTCTTCTTTCGTTTTTTTGCATCTCAATCGATTTTCTACTGGCATATTCAAAGCATTCATTTTTTTTGTCCGTGAAATATGCAATTGAACAAGAGCAGCCAGCTCAATGGAAACAAATCACCAAATTGAACTTTTCAGACACATTACGTGGCATATGCGTATTATAATGATCATTTTATAATAATAATAAACACATTAGTCACATGCTATGCAAAACAAGTGAAATCAGCCGCTTTCAAGCTCATCCAAAGTGATATATCCATTTGTTAAACGGAGCATTTCATCTGAAAAAAGCACTTTTTATCAAATAACAATAAATTGCATCGAAAGCGGCGATAAAATTGCGCACCTAATGCAAACGGAATGGCTGTGGCGCATGCAGAATGCTGCGCTTGCTCTTGTGCATTTAATGCAAATGAACAACGCACCGAGTCAATTTCGAATTTATATCATTTGGAGCTGTGTAGAGAGCATCTCTCGCAATACACTGAAATTAAAATGGAAACGTTTCCATTCGAAACGCCATGATTTAGGAGATTTGCTTAAGAAAAATAGAAAGTGTTCCTTTTCCTCATTATTGAAGGAAAACGATGCTTAACAATAAATTGCAAGCGAACGCGTTGAAAATCGTCGATTTGCTCGAAATATAAAGCATTTGATATAGCATCGGATGCATGAACAATTTTTACGATTTTTTTTTGATGATCACCGACAATAACTGGCGAGCTACTGCTCTGATTCTACGCATTTTTAAATGATCCGAGACAATCACATTTTTAGCTGAACTACAGCCCAAACATCAAATGATGTTTATAAGCACAAATTTAGCAAATTCATTATATCACGGCACATTATGAAATGTCGGGTCATTCAATGTTTACAACGGCTTCAGTTCAAGCTCTGACGTATCGTAAACCAGAGCATTCAGTTTTTATGGACGAATATAAAAGCAAACAAAAACAGAGAAAAGCAACAACAAAAAATGAAACCGATCGAAACGAGTTGATGTTGATTAGAGTGCATTTGCATTTGATTGTTGCTTTTGTTTGTGCAAACACTAATGAGCACTTTGACATCACTGAGGAGGCCGCTCTGCGTCGAATAGATAGCATACGTAATTAACGGCACCGGTTTTCTGAGAGAAAAGAAATAGATGCTCTAGTCGATTTAATCATGGTCATTAAAGCCTAATGTTTCCGAAAAAAATTACGTTTTTCCTCCGTGTGTCTTATTTTCTGGCTGAATAGCAGAAATGCCCAGCACAGTTTTCACGGTAATCTTCGGACATTTCACATCAAATAAAATGAACGTATTGGAAGCGCACAAAATATCGAACAAACAATGTAATTACACATGAAATGGCAGAGGAAAATATCTCTCGAATTTTGACCGTGACTTAATAAGAACCATATATCCAGAGCATTAATTACATAGTGATCATAGTCATTTCATACTATGATTGCGTGATATTGGCGCGCGCGCGCATGCGCGTTTGCAAGCTTTCATTTTATTAAAGGAAAAACACCAACCGACTGTATAGCATCCATCTATAGATATTCCGTGCACATAAGAACAGTTCGAATTAGACGCATAACTGTGCACACACCAGCCAACTTATTCTCGTGACACAGAAATTGGTTTTGTGTTATTTGTCGTGTACACACTCTCCTCACACTCCTACCATCTGTAAAACGAGTGTTTGTTGTGGAAATGAAGCGGTAGAAAATTAAAAAAGAAAAAGAAAAGAAATAATCTTTGCCTCTTTCCATGCGACTGAATTGGCCGTTTTCTAAAGAAAAGATCTCTCTTTAATCGATCGATGTGCGGAAATTCTTTGCCTATTTTCATCGTCTATAATTTATTCCAATTGAATTATTGATCCACTTTTGTCGCATAGCATAGTCTCTCTCTCTCGCTCGAAACCGAGCCAATCAAATAGAAAAACAATGACAACAACAAGTTGAAGCGACCAAACACACCAAACCGTCGTCATTCTGCGAATGTGTGTGTGCATTGGAAGTGGTTTGTATATTGCGAGAAAAGAGCCCGTACCGTATGTTTGTGTCATAAAATCCGTGCAATGTGTCGTTAAATGTGTAACACCGTTCTTTTCACCATGGCGCACAAAGAATTTCAACGACTGCGGAACAAACACGATGTGTGTTGCCGACCAACAATGTGAACCACATTTGGAAAAACGAATGAAAGAATATGCCAATCAAAACTGCCGTGTAGTATACTCACACTCATACGCTCATGGTGTTTGGCGTAAGAACCAGTTCCTTTTTCAAAATCGGTGCGAATTAGCGGTTCAAACGAGTTCGTTCTCTGCTTTTTTTCTTTCTTCTTTTTCAATTCTTTCTTGCGATGTGACAGCAGCTTTTCTTTTATCCACCGTATAAGGCCATTTCGATCATTCACAATTCATATGTGTTTTACGATTATTTTGTACTACATTGACTCACTTTGCACACCATCTTCTGATTAATGCAATCTTTATAATCGTACATTTTTGCATTCGAGAGCCCAAATGCAGACGATGTTGCGGCCATGCAACATGGGTGCAAACAAAATTATTTACATGAGAGATAGGCTAAATGAAATGACACACCGATTTCACAGAATTAATCGGTTGTTTGGAGCAATGTTCGAGTCTCGAATGAGGATTGATTGATTGGTTGATTTTATTTCCTTTGGCTGTACCATACCCACCAGTAAAGGAAGTCATGTGTTGTTAAACTTTGCATAGAACCACATGTACGGCGTCCAATTCGAAGCCCATGATGTCTCGAAGCGACTGCTTGACAAAAGAAATTCATTAAATCAATGTGCAATGTACATGCACGATCAAATGTTTGGCACACGTTTCGATGCATGATTACGTTCACTGCGATTGGGGAAAATGGGTCATGGATAGGCTGATGAATAACAGGACTGTGCTTAAAAAAGCATGAATTGTCTAATGCGCTTCGACGTTTTCCGTATTTTCTTCTTCTTTATTGAAATTGCAAACTTGTACTTCGATTGCAGCCGTAAGCTGTGGCTTTGTATCAACCAACTCAATATTAGAGCAAAGTCATAAATTGTTTGCCGTAACTAGGAGTTGTTTTGCTTATGCATGCTTACATTGATTGTTTTTCTGCGCTACACATACTCTTGCTACATGCGAAGCCCATTCAAGACCAGTTGTATTATGGTTATTATTATGGCTGTACGGACACAAAACGAACGAACAAAATACAGCGAATCACAATTCGCGTAATCTCTTCGATGTTTCTTTCTACGATTTTGCCTATGGACTGATAGATAGATAGATAGATAGATAAAACTTGTTTTACAGGCAACGGTTCTATTGCAAACAGGCGAGATGTACGTGAATATGGGTTACTGGTTCAAGAGTTTAAGCATGTTGCAAGACATGTTTTATGCTTTTTTAATTTCTCTCTTCTTTTTCCTTTACTCGCTGGTCATTACACCAAAGCGCAGAAGCAGCAGAAGCAGCAGAAGCAGCAGAAGCAGCAGAAGCATCACACCGTTCGAGTGGTTGTGTGTTGCTTTATTTCACTCTTTTTTTTCTATCTCTCACTCAAATGGGATGCGCTAAT